AGTGATGGCACTACATTCCCAAATAAGTCACTTGTACTAAATATTTGTCATAAATGCCGATATATTTGATAAAATAGCTCTCCTTGAATTAAACGGTCTCTCTCATGCTTGCATTGCAGATTTATACAGGCAAGATAAAAAGACATGATTAAAACCACCGAACACCAAGCGGCATTTGTTGATGACAGTGGTACCTACCTTACCTTCTGCCCACTACCGTCTACCTAATGTTTAGGCAGATCACTGTATTAAATGATTACTGAATTCACAGGCCGAGAACACTGAATACTTACACCTTTAATAGTGCTCTACAATAATATATTTCCAAGTGCCTTGCAGACAATTGCAGGACCAGCCGTACATAGATTTTTCCACTATGCCATGAGAAATATACATTATTAATTAAAGAAAAAAATATTCTCTCTCAGAAACTACTGTACAAGAATATCTTGATTATCTATGATCAAGTTAATAATGTTATTACTCTTATTATTATTATTATGATAATCTGTTAATTTCTCTAAGATTAGCCAAGATTTAACAGGATATAGATAATCAAGATGCATGTTAACAAGTGGTATTTACAAAGATCTGACACTTGCTAATTACAAAGATTCATCATTTTTGTCAAAGTGCAGAACAAGAGGATGTACTGTAATGTATTCCTCATATTAAACATCAGTTTTTAGATTGAGTGGAAAAAGCACAACGCACAAAAGTATCTCGACCCCCCCCCCCCCCTCCCACCAAACACACGCACTCATAAACTGTGCTGAGAGAAAATCATCGGCAATGAGAATAGATTTTGATAAATTATTTTTAATATCTATAAATTTTATGTACCATGTTAACAGTATAGAAATTATTACTTCCCAAAATACAGTACTGTATATAACTGCAGTTGCTCATTTGATTTTATGTTGTCATTCCTTACACACAAGAGTCCATCAGCTAGAAATGACATTCAATTTATCTTCTTTTAATGTCTTAATTAAATTTTGTATGAAAAAATATCAATACTTCTTGCCCAGCATTGCTGATTGTAGCTGTAAAAAATATAACATAAAATATGGGGGGAATTTCAGAAGTAAAGTTCCTGGCGCTAACTTTGCATGTGTTATGCCTCATACTTGTTCAAAATAATGAATTGTTCAATAAACTTTGACACTATATTACATAAAAAATAATCTGCACCAAGGTAATGCAACAACTATAAATTCATCATATTCATCCAGGTAAATAATGTAACGCAAGGTTATGGTAATGAGTATCCACAAGCAACTCATTTGTGTTAAATACAATACAATGTTCATTTCTGTAGAAGCCACTGATGACTTGCCATCAAGTTAACCCAAACAAATTTATGTTATCAAGATTATAGCAGGAACTATAAATGTTTACAATACATTTAACAATGCAAAATGGGAATGTCAGAACCATAGTTCCATTGTCAGACATGAGCGTACAGCAGTGACATCTTCAAGAGGAAACTAGATTTATTCCTCCAAGGAGTGCCGGACCAACCAGGCTGTGGTGGGTATGTGGGCCTGCGGGCCGCTCCAAGCAACAGCCTAGTGGACCAAACTCTCACAAGTCAAGCCTGGCCTCGGACCAGGCTTGGGGAGTAGAAGAACTCCCAGAACCCCATCAACCAGGTATCAACCAGTGACAATAATGCACACGTCCTTACTGCCTGAATCTTGCCAGTGTCTCCCACAACTGCCAATCATATTGAAGTCAAATTCCTCATGGGATTGATGCTAGTTTACAGTACTAGTATAATTCTTGTTTTAACATGTAAAAATGTTCAGTATGAATAGTCAACAAGTTTTCTGACTATAGGTTCCATATGTTAAAGTGAACCTTTATCATACAAAGGACATTTTAGGATAAAATTAAACTATAAAACACACAAACAGGGATATACAATAAACAAGGAGATAAAATATTAATAAACATATGTATAACATGCACTTTAGTTCAATAACAATTGATTTATGCTTAGAATTGTGTAATAATAATGGCAGAACATAATTTTCTGCAACTACTTTTTATTTTTACTTTCCAATTTTTTGTGGAATATCATAATGCATTATGAATGATAAATTTTGTATTTGCTTTTTAAAAAGTGATACAACTACTTCAAATTGATGTGAAAAGTTTAATCTACATAAAATGGTTACCCATTTTATCACTCAAATCTGTGTAATAAATAATTGGTATTTATGCTTTTTTAAAAAAATAAATTTTTACTATAGATAAAAATTTTAATTATATATTTAATTATTAGAGGAGCTGCAATACTGTTAAACAAAACACACACTTCATTCCGTGTTAAATGGAAAGAAAATGATTCTATATTGTGCACGAGTCATGGCTAAAAAGCTAACAATATATGCAAATCTATTCATTCAACAATATAAAAGTCTTTAAAAAGTTTTTAACAGGGATAGTTTTTGAAGATTTAAAATTCACACACACACATACACACACACTTCGCAATCTTCAAATTTCTATACTAAATGTGTTCACAATCTTCATGCAATCTTCATGTATGTGGAAATTTAATGGATCGTTATGGTAAACTTTTTTATTTTGTTTTTATTATGTTTACCAGCTTGCAAGAAAGAGATATTGGGTAAATTATTTCATCAAAATGTATTTATATACCTCTTGTATTTAACTACTGTACTTCCTCAGTGTACTTAGAAAATTCAGGAATTATGTTCAGCAGATGATGAGGCCTGATAACGTGGTTGAAGATATGATGACCAAACCTCCATCAGAAGGTAAAGAAACGACGACATTTTGGTCCTTCCTGGACCATTATCTTCATCATATCTTCATCTTCTGATGTGTGATTTGGTCATCAAATTCTGTTAAATTTCATCACAGTTTGAAATAATGAATTACTGTTTTTATTTAAAGGCATGAGTTCAGTTGCCTAAAATGGAAAGGTGAAAGCTATTTTCTTTGCTATAGCAGGCATGTCAAACTGACGGTCCCCCAAGGGCCATATGGGACACATGAGGCCCACACACAAAAACTAATTGAAGTCATTTAATGAAAATTATTGTAGAATATTTTTTCTATCATATTATATACCAAATTACAGTATCCTTTGTGTGGGCTGCATGCTTGACATGTCTGTGCTATAGGATAGTGCGAGGCATGGTCATGGCTGACCTTACATGGTTGTGCCCGGCTAAAATATGTTACGATTAACAGTGTAACTCTTGATGCTCAAGCACTTCAATCTGCAATTTTATCAATTGGAAACACATTTGTTTTCAAGTGCAAATTTGTTCATCAAACACACACCAGGCTGACAAGAATCATGCAGAAACACCTACTAAATACACTAGAATATGGTATTTGACCACAGGAAGCTTGAATCTTAAGTTTCTGATAAATCTTTTTATTGCTCTCTATTTAGAGACATTACAATAGATAATAGAATCTCTATCAACATTACAAAATGTAAACAAGTGCAATACAAGTAACCTTCAAGGGAAAATGAAGGCAAATGGCAGTTGTAATGAGTTTGATGTAATATCATGGCTCTAGTTCTTTATATAAATCAATATTGTGTGAGTGTGCATTTGTTTTTGCCAGAATATTGTAAGTTACTTTGATTAGATTTTTTTTAAAGCATAGACAAATTAACACATTTACAAATCATAGAGTATTCATACTATCCATGATGCAGTCAAGAGGTTAATGGTTAATGAAAAAAACCTTGCTTTCGTTCGTAATTTTTGTTTGTTTACATATCTCTACGAGATGAAGTAAACAGAAACATCGAGGTCTTACCTCTCAGATCAACAACAGCTTGTGTAATTTATTCTGAGAATAGCCAGAAATACAAGACAACCATTTAACCTTCAAAATTTTCATGCGATACACGTTATCAAACTACTGGTGTTATGTTTGATTATTAAGAAAATATAAAACACCCATAACCTGAAATGTTAGAAAAAGTATTACTTACACTGTAAGTAATCTTGAATGTAATCAGTATCTAAATGTGAACCTAGATATTCCTACAAATAATGCACAAGGGTCATGTGGGGTTTTCTTATTGGCCACATACATTTTGATCAAGAGGACACCTATACAGGTTGAAGATATTAGCATATTTTATCAAGGAAACACTTGCAACAGAATTAGCAAATAATAATCCTAAATAATGCTTTAATAAGGCAATTCCTTCCTGTGTGAAAACAAGAATACAAGCCTTACAAAAACTCTACCTAAGGTTGACAATTGCTAATCTTGTTACTCACGAACAAACATGGAAGCCTTTGTAATCATTCCTGTGTAAAATGAACATTCATACATGTACACACCTTTGGTTTACTGAACTGGAAGTATACCGTTCTTGTTCTCAAGTAGCATCTAAAGATACCATCGGGGAAATAAAAACATGTACATCATCACATCTGGAGTGATAAAGTACTCTGAATTAATGGCAAATTTTAATGTATATCATGAACCAATCTTACAGGACTACCTAGTGAGAGAGACCTAGTATGCTACTAGGTTGTCTTACGAGTAAAATATAATTTCTTTTGCAATTAATTTCTACAATAATGATGCACTCGTGTAAGAGTTCATAGTTACCAAACTCGTAGGCTATATCTGAAACAGACATTATGAAAATGAACTAGAATAAATTCTGAAGACTGAACAACGAATGAAAGATAATATTCAGTCATCGTTTATGCAATGGAATATTTCAATAATTATTATCTGGCTGATGCAGCATTTCACGCTGCAATTCAAAATATTTCGGGGTAGTTGTTCATATTCTGACTAAAATAGAATAGCTTTGGTAATCATCAATTCTAACCTGTATCTTCACAGTTCCCTTTAATATGAAACATCTGTCTAAACTTCAAAAATAAGTTTATTAAGTTCTAACTATAGACTGCTGCTGAAAAGAACTTATTACGACTAACCTAAAATTTGTTCCCAAAAGAGCTTTACTCCCAAGGCTGTCTTCTGGCTCAAAACCTTGGCACACTGCAAAGTGGATATGAAAATCAACGATGTACTATCTACTTTCAAAGTATTTAAAGTCACCAACAATATCCACTCTTATATTTCCAGCACGTAACTTGCATGCATGAATGCACCCATGCATATTATATATATACTGTATACAGTATATAAAAAAGTATAGCCACAAAGAAAAAATGAAATGGAAATTACTTTAGCACTTTCATGTTAATCAACACATCTTCTAAAGTATATATAATTAATGATTTGATTAATGAAGATTACACCACCCAAGAGGTGGAACACGGGCAAGACTATCCCGTAAATTTTATGAAATATAATACAGTACTGTACTTGAATGTATTGGCAGGACAAAGGTGACATGCGAGGCGAGAAAAGAAACCTTTGTAATACAGTACTTACTTATAAACATAAGAACAGGAGGACATTGAAGATGACCTAATGACCAATACATATGAGTTCCCAGAAGCAATATCCCAACTGGGATACCCCCAATCTAATCGACTTGACAGACAATCGACTTGAGAATGGTCCAGGACGGACCGAAACGTCGTCGTCCCTTCAACTTCTAGTGTGTGGGCTGGTCAACCCCAATCTAAGATAATTTTTTAATTGATCCATTTGAGAATGGATCCAAATTGTACAACCATTACTAATATTCATGTTGTATGGCCTTGTAATTTGTATTAAATCTGATTCAATGTTTCTATTAAAAATGCTTTGACAATTTATTATTGAAGATGACCTCTCCCAATCAATTTGGCAAGAATTTTCTGACAAATTTAATTTATCAGTAAAAAAAAATGATCTTAGTAAGATGATTAATTGACAGCTATTCCAGTAGGAATATTGCTTCTGGGAACTTGCAAGTATTGTTCAGTAGGCCATCTACAGTGTCCTCTTATTCTTATGTTCATGTAAATGTTACCAAAGGATTGCTTTTCATCTCTCACCCTGCCAAACACATCAAGAAACTACGACGCTGCTACAATGTTCGAACAAGTTGTAACAACTTTCAAACATTGTAAAAACTTTATAACAAGATGTAACAACTTCCTAACATATTGTAACAAGGCATCAATAGGGACCATTACAGTGTGTGTTTGCAGGAATGTCACCTTTTTCCTGCTTATATACTAAAGCACTATATTACATTGATTATACTTTTGAAGATGTGTTGATTAACATGAAAGTGCTCATGTAATTTCTTTTTTTATTTTCCCTTCATGGTTATATGTTTTCATACATTCATCGTGTGTTTAAATTTTGTCGTGATTTACACGCGCACACACACACACACTAATAATGTATTATATGTATGTATGTATGTATGCATATAATAATAATAAACTCCTATTAGCCAGTTTAAGCATACATTTGTCTCCCTTGTGAGGTTAAAAGTGACCCAAGAACTTTCAAATGTATTTAGGTGGAAGGACATGTTTACTTTTACATCTCAAAGTTCTTCCATAGTATTGAGTTTCAACTTCTAATACTAAAAAACGAGATGTCAAAAGACTGCCAGCACTATCATGACTTTTCAACTGTGAAAATAGTTACCGTACATACACTCTCAAAGCTTCAGGATGCACCATCAATAGAGAAGTGTCACTTAACTGGTTTGTGTATTTGTGGTTCTCTTACCTGCAAAGAAAAGGGTCAGTGTTAAAGATAGAATTGTAAAGTACTTCACAGTTTAAAAAAGTCCCCCCCTCCCCCCCTCCTGCATAAACATAAAAGTATTATGTTTATGCAGCCAAATGGTTCTGATCAGATGTTCTTTTCCTATTAACCCAAAAGCCTTATTTCAGCGTAATAATAATCGATTCATAAGAGCTGAAAAAAAGAATCCATACAGTTTCAAGACTGCAAGAATTATGGGGGGAAATAAACAAAATGTTGAGCTTCTTCGTTATGTTCCAGGACAGATGCACTGATTGGTGGGGCAGACAAAACTGACCAGTGCAACCACAACCTGCTAAGACACTCATTTCCTAAATGGAATCTAGAATAAATTAATTGACAGCATATTTAAAAAGCTAATTTTTTAAATAATTTAAAAGATTCAGATAAAAAATCGAGAACAGAGGTTGGTTCGGCAGAGGGTGCATCACGATCTTCTTCCGGTAGTAACTATACGCCATTACCTTCAATAGACGAAACGGATCCGATATGGCACTTAATCAGTGATGATAGCTTCAGGGAGCTGATGGGGCTCCCCACAGAAAACAGCTTTTGAAAAGGTTTGGCATTAATATAGTGCTGAATTTCTTGGAGAAAAGTTTAACAAGAGTTTCATCCTCCATTTAATGAATCTTGTGGTGACTGACACACACCTCTTGTGGATGGTGTTAGAGAGACTGTAGATCTAGGTGGCAAGGCTTTTAGTCTGTACTTGGGCTTATTGAGGTCAACCTAGGGTAACTACTGACCTTCCTTTGGATGCAACCCACAACGATTGCGTAACTCGTGAATATGTATTTACTGCTAGGTGAATAGAAGCACCAGGTGAAAGGAAATGTGCCCACTCATTTCTGCCTTGCCTAAGTATTGAATGCAGGATCCCTCATTATGAATAATAGAAGCCAAAATAAACAAAACATATGCAGAGTCAAAGAGAGATGAACTTGAAAGGGGGCACAGTGTAGAAGGCTATTCATCATGTTGTACACTACCAGACTCCTTGTACAACTTCCAAATGTCCAATTATTCCAACTTTGCATATCTGAGTTCGATCAGGCACCAAACCAGCTTTCTCACCATCCTCTGCCAAAGAAAAGGCTATGTAGTTTGACGGCCGGCCACCATGTTGCAGTGGTACAACCTCTGCACCTGCTCCGACGATCCAGTTTTATTTTTTGTGTGTGTGTGCTTGCCCACAGCCATCAAAGCCCTTCCCCTCTTTCACCACTTTATATCTATAAATATATATTAGATCTTGCTGCTATGGCATCAGAAAATACAGGAAATCTGTTGTTTGGGCCTTCAACAAGCAGTGAAGTCAAGATAAAATATGTGATGAACTTTGAATAATAAGTTCAGCTTATAAGGTTAGTTGAATCTGGCATGCCTAGGAGTGTTGCATGTGCTAGATTTAAAGTTCCAGGGGTGGGGGGGGGGAGAAATTAGAAATATCCTAAGCTACTCTATCCCTCTGAGATGCATTTTTTCTTGTCTTAATGAACATACTTGAACTTGATACAAAGTTAGGCAAACCACTCTATTATACACTGAAGGCTAAAGATAAGATCTTTGCATGTTATGCTAAAAATGAGAGTAATGTAGCAATGCACAACAGAAAAGTACAGAGTACTTAGCAATGCTACGATTACAAGTGTTGAAGAGGCTGTTTAGGAGTTGTACGTGCAGACACATGAGGAATCAAGAAACCTGTGCCAGGACAGCTGATTAAGGAAAATGTCAAGCATTTTCATCGACAAATGAAGCTTTGTGATAGTTGTATATACAGTGAAGGATGGCTAAGGGGCTTTAAGGTTTCTTCATGGCATAAGGTATGTGAAATTATGAGGTTAAAAGCAATCTGCTGATGCAAAAGGCACAAAGGAATGTGTGTCCAAATTTGAGAAGATTATGCAGGATGATTCTTTATCGTCTGAGCAAAATTATAATGCTGATGAAACAAGCATGTACTGGCGTATGTTGGTTATACATGCACTCATCAGGGTGAAAGTGGTCATTCAGCTGGGAACAAGGCAAATAAAAAAATGTTCTCTTCACTTTGTTGTGAAAAATGCAGTTGGTGCATACAAATTAAAATTGCTCATTATAGGCAAAAGTGAAAATCCAAGGGCATGTAAGGGTGTCAAGAATATTTATTATCCCTGTGATTTATAAGTCTCAGCACAGTGCATGGATGTCTAGTCATTTTTCATGAATGGTTATCTTGAGATGATTTCGGGGCTTTAGTGTCCATGCGGCCCGGTCCTCGACCAGGCCTCCACCCCCAGGAAGCAGCCCGTGACAGCTGACTAACACCCAGGTACCTATTTTACTGCTAGGTAACAGGGGCATAGGGTGAAAGAAACTCTGCCCATTGTTTCTCGCCGGCACCCGGGATCGAACCCAGGACCACAGGATCACAAGTCCAGTGTGCTGTCCGCTCGGCCGACCGGCTCCCGAACAAGTCATTTGGTTTTTAAGTCATTTCGTACCAGAGGTGAAAACCCATTTTAATAACATGGGCTTGCCAGAGAAGAGCAAAGTACAGTAGTGCTATTTCTTGATAATAGCTCAACACATCCAATGAAAATGTGCTAGTTAAGGGTAATATGATTGGTACATTTTTGCCACCCAACACAACTTCCTTTATCAAACCTGTGGATCAAGGAATAATTTCAAACCTCAAACTGAACTTCAGAACTGAATTTGTCAGTCAGCTCCATGCAAAGAAAGCTGTTGTCAAAGACGTCATACAAGGCCTAAAGTCAAAATCAAGAAATAATGTCAAGTTCATAAATAACCCTCTATTAAAGTCAAATTCACTATTTGGGGCATTCACAGAAGCCCATACAAAAGATTACATGGATAGTGAAATCTGGATCCCAAATTATAATCTATACATGTGTGATAGAGAAGTTAGGTCAAATGGAGAAGTAGGTCTGTATATTAAAGAAGATCTGGTATGTACACAGCTACTAAACTCAACCAATGAGGTGGTAGAGGTACTTGGAATCAAGGTAGAAAAATATACCTAATTATTATTATAAATAAACCTAATTATTATTCTAAATAAACCTAATTATTATTCTAAATAAACCTAATTATTATTCTAAATAAACCTAATTATTACTCTAAATAAACCTAATTATTATTCTAAATAAACCTAATTATTATTCTAAATAAACCTAATTATTATTCTAAATAAACCTAATTATTATTCTAAATAAACCTAATTATTATTCTAAATAAACCTAATTATTATTCTAATACAAACCATCAGATGCAACAGTTGAGAAATCCACAGAGCAGATGCACAAACTAGAGAATATCCTTAATAACCTAGCAAACCCAGTACTAGACATTATCTTCTTTGGATACCTCAATCTATCCAGTTTAGGACAGAGAATGGCAAACAATAACATTATAACAGGAAATCAACCTGGAAATAACCATCCACAGGTTAGAGAATTGCTGAAATTCAGTGAAAAATTCATGCTCAACCAACAGATTACAGAGCCAATTAGGAACAAAAATCCTCTTGACATGATCTTCACAAACAATGAAGAAATAATCAGACACATTACAATCTCAGATAGTACATGCTCAGACCACAAGCTCATTGAAGTTCAAACATTAATACCTGTAGTAGATCTAAGAGGATCAACAAGTAAGAAGGGTTATTCAATCAATTCAATTTTAACAATATGAGGATCGACTGGGGAAAATGTAAACCTGGCAAACATCTAATGGAAAACTGTCTTAAGTGACAAAACATAGCCCAATTGATAGCTGAAGCATACAAGATGTGCTTTCTGGCCTGTGAGGAAGCTCAGAAAGAGCACCACTCTATAAAAGGAATGGAGATGACTGTACAAGGTAAAAAATCACATATGCTTAATGGTGCATATGCATGTTATATAGAACTACACTTTTATGCACCATTACAAACCACTAAGCAGTTCTGGTGGGTGTGGTAATCTTGTAATCCAAGCTTAGCATAGCACCATGCTAGCCAGTTGCCAATGGTACTTGACACAGCAAAACGACTCCCAATATACTACTACACATATTGCTAACTCCAGCCACAATACTATTGTTATTATCTGACTCCTGGTCAATAAACCTTAAGTATGAATCATTTTCCACACGTTTACTTTCTAAAGGAATACGAGGTCCCATTTCATGACGAGTAGGTGCACCAAACCTATGTGGTTGTTTGCCTTGTGCTGTGAACATTGTAATCAGCATTGGGCTATCTTGAGATGTTATCTTGAGATGATTTCGGGGCTTTTAGTGTCCCCGTGGCCCGGTCCTCGACCAGACCTCCACCCCCAGGAAGCAGCCCGTGACAGCTGACTAACTCCCAGTTACCTATTTTACTGCTAGGTAACAGGGGCATAGGGTGAAAGAAACTCTGCCCATTGTTTCTCGCCGGCGCCCGGGATCGAACCCGGGACCACAGGATCACAAGTCCCGCGTTCTGTCCGCTCGGCCGACCGGCTCGGCCGACCTTATATATAGTGTTTCAAACAGTCGCAATCTTCTATGACACTATCACCATAAGATAATCACAATTGCTTATATATTTCATCATTATTAAGTGATTCTGCAGGCATGAGCTGCTGATGTATGTGCTACTCATGGTCGCTCTTATTATTGCGGTCCCTCGCAACCAGGTTATCTTGAGATCTTGAGGTTATCTTGAGATCTTGAGGTTATCTTGAGATCTTGAGGTTATCTTGAGATGATTTCGGGGCTTTTTAGTGTCCCCGCGGCCCGGTCCTCGACCAGGCCTCCACCCCCAGGAAGCAGCCCCTGACAGCTGACTAACTCCCAGGTCCCTATTTTACTGCTAGGTAACAGGGGCATAGGGTGAAAGAAACTCTGCCCAATGTTTCTCGCCAGGAGGGGTGCCCAGGATTATTTTCAAGATGGCATCTGTTTACTGGAGGCCTGAGGAGGCAGATGTGTGCCCCTTGTTCATGTGGGAGTTTTAAATTTTGTGCAGTACTTTTAAAACATTCCTGACCTTGTCATGCAACCTTACAGACAATTAGCAAAAATATCCCTGACAATGTCATATAGATGAACGGTTATTATAAAATATTATAATACAATCACAATACAGTTATGATTTTTTTTTATCAGACAACTTACTAGAAAGTAGTAGCAAAATTCTAAAACTTGTAACATACTTTGAAACATCAAGATTATCATAATACATGTGGCCTACCTGGTTTAAGATTGCTTGAACAATTACAAAGAGGGTCAATAGGAGAAAGACAGTGCTCGGCTCATTCCCTGCTGCACCAGAATATTGAGACGAACGGCCAGACATGCCGTCAAAATAAGCATGCCTGAAAATAGTTTGGTGTTCATAATCCGAAGAATCTAGGCCACTGCGAACCTGAAAAAAAAGGAAAGAGGCATCATAGGTAGCTTACATTGGGCACCAAAGAAGGTGAGCAGTGAATTTAGAGGCCATATAATGTTCAGGGGCCCATGTTTAATTCCAGCATGCAACCTTAAAATCTATGCAATGATCGACATTTTGCTTATGACATTTTCTAAGGAGTATTGTACAGATTATGAAGTGGCAGAGAGGAAGGGAGGGGGGGAGAAGGGGTAGGAGAAAGGGGGGGAAAGAAGGGGCAGGAGAAAGGGGAGGTAAAAGAAGGGAGAATAGGAGGGAGGGGGAGGGAGGGAGGGAGAGGAAGAGGAGGGAGGAGGGATGTGTATAAAGGTTCAGACATTCACATCTTGACTAAAAAATATGTTGGGATTAGGAGTGGATATGAATATGAATATGAATATGAACAAAAAAAAAAAATTATTATATATATATATATAACTGGATCACCACTACAATTTTGTCCCCATTGCTTCTGAGACACTCAGCGCCTGGGGTAAAAGTGCTACCAGTTTTTTGAAGGAACTGGGTTCTAGGCTCATTGAAACAACAAGGGACCCAAGAGCTGCAAGCTTTCTTTTCCAGCGCCTCAGTGTGGCGATACAGAGGGGAAATGCGCACTGCATCCAGGGTTCCTGCCCGCCATCTGAGGAGCTGGAGGAACTCGACAACCTATGATAACCATCTTTGTAACCCATATGTAACTCCTTTTTTGTAACAAAGTTCAAATAAAGTAAATATATATGTGTACATACAAAAGAATGGGGGTGGTAGAAGATAATATTAGTGTTCAGTGAGAAACCACAAGGTCTCCTCTGAATACTTTTTATTTTCTTCTCCGAGGCTATGGGTCCCCACATTGGCACCAGAGGTGGTACCCTCACAAACTTTTTATTATATATATATATATTTATATATATATATATATATATATTATTATATTTATTATATATATATTATATATATATATATATATATATATTATTTATTTATTTATTTATTTTCAAATCCACTCTCCTAATCCCAACATATTTTTTAGTCAAGATGTGAATGTCTGAACCTTTATAAACGTTAGCAGCTTTGCAAGAATGTACCACTTAATCGCTAGAAATATGTAGAGTACTTTCACAACCCCTTTGTACACAACTTCTCTCACAACTCTGCAAATAACAATGTTATTCTGGCAATATAAATACAAACAAACCCCAATATCTGCTACTTAGGAATTCACAAAATTCACCATTCATAGGGTAGGTTTCTTGTCCAAAACTTGACTCAACACTAGCTAGTTTTCGTATTTAAAAAGTTGTATCTACATATTTTATGAATTGCTATATTGCCAGTTTTTGTTGTGCGCACATTTTGGAATGCATCTTTAAAATTAATAATATACTGTATTTTGTGTTTATAGCTGGAAAGAAGCTAGAGTGCTTAGTAATTATATTTAGAGATGTGTGTTATTGAGAGTAGAAAATTTGAACTTTAAGAGGCCTTTGGACATTTCCTAATTTTTCCCATATACTGCAACTTTTAACTTTTAATTTTCAAGAGTGTGCATTCTTCACAGAGAGCTAGGGCTCGCTGTACTGAATAAACTAAGCATGTACTCTTAAGTAAATGTGATAAATATATATATATTTAGGATAGGGAACCAGGCAGATGGAAAAAACCCAGCATTGAATGTAATGAAACATCATTTTCTGGGTGAGACCAGGAGGCTCCCCGGAGCTGTACTAGGCTGATATGCTAATGTCAGACTTTGGCATCAGTCATGTGTATGGAGTTCTAGGGCCTACTGGGGACCACGGCCAGAACTTGGCCCCCTCAGAGAGGCAAGGGGAGCAATGGCCTATAGAAACCCCCGTGTGGTTGGAAGCATTCTATGTCTATCATCGACCAGGTCAAGCATCCAGAAAGGTAAGCATTCCAAAACAAACCCCTATTCTGGTTAAAATTGCTACCAAAAGCTGAACTAGTGGATAGAACTCCCCAACAGAAAACAAGCAAACTAGTATAACGTCACACGTCACCGCGCCGCTGTCTACGCAGCTCCCCCCTCCCCAGGAGGGGAAAGGGGGAGCCCCAGACATCTCACACCGGCTATCCACCCATCAGTTCTGAGGCTGGATGTCAAAATACACGAAAAACCGCCGTCCGGAGGGAGGGAGGGTTGCTGGGGAGCCTCCGGGTCTCACTCAGAAAATGGTGTTTCATTACATTCAACGCTGGTTTTCTGGGGGAACCCCTTCAGCTCCCCGGAGCCAACTACCCAGAGGAAAATCGTAATAGGGACTTACCCGGGAGGCGGTCGCTGCTCACTCCTCAACTTAAAGGCGAGACAACTGGCTGCAACCGCCGACCCAAAGCGACACAGGCCTGACGAGGCCCAGGGACGTTGACTAGGTAACGAGCAGCCAGGACCCTGTTCGACCGCTAAAAGCCTTATGCCCGAATGTCAGCCCAGGACATGTTGCCAAAGACAGCAGCAAGAACATCGAACTTACGAATGTCATGGCCATGGGGATAGACCGCAGGCTGGCTAGCTTTAATAACTCTGCGGACGACCTGGGAGACCCGCACCCACGAACAGGGAAGAAGGAAAACCAGATCAACCCAAAGTGCGTCCCTGGACACAGAAGCCATGGCGTGCAAATAAAGGCGAAGAGCCGCAACTGGACACAAAACATGATGCACCCCCGGCTTGACCAACCAAGCATCAACAACCCAGGGACCCCTCCGGAAAGCAGCAGTCTCATTCTTCGCCAGAAAAGAAGGAGACGGCTGCAAATGAACAAAACCATCACGTAGCCCGAAGGAGCAGAAACCCCTGCGCCGGAGGAGAGCATGAAGCTCCCCAACCCGACCCCTAGAGGCCAATGCCAACAGAAAAAGACTCTTGGAGAAACAATCCTGAACCGAAGGGGCCACAACAAACCGAGGAGAAGAAAGAAAAGAGAGCACTCTGTCCAAAGACCAGGACGGCTCAGGCGGCGCATTAGCAGGCCGGAGGTGAAACAATGCACGAGACAGCTTGCGAAATGGCGCAGAAGTAATATCAATACCAAAAGCAAGCTGAAGTGGCTCTGCCAGTGCCGCACGATACGAGGCGACAGTGTTAGGCATAAGGTGATGGTCCTGGAACAACCAAGAGAGAAAGGACAACACCAACCAAACAGAAAGCGAAGCACAACGATGAAGGTGTAAAAAGAACTGGAAGGACCGCCAGGAGATCTCATACTGCCGCCAAGATGAAGTCCGCAGGTGGGACACCAACAAAGAAGCCACCTGATCACCATAGAGATGATGATAAAACCGAGTCAAAAAGACCATACGCGAAAACTCGAGGAGAAGATCGAACCAGCCACGTGATGCACCGGGCTGATCTGTTGGAAGAGGCGGAGCCGCGGGAAAACCTACGGGTTTGGACACTGGGCAAGCAGCGCCTGAAACCATGGCTGGGTCGGCCACCACGGGGCCAAGAGGACTACTCTCCCCTGGTAGGTCTCCAAGCGAGTCAGGACCTGGAGCAACAGCTGAACTGGGGAAAAGTGGTACAGGAACCCCCCACCTCGACCAGTCCTGCTGAAAGGCATCGACCCAGATGGCCTTGCAATTGGGGATGGGCGCCACTCTAGCATCATCCTGAGAACTGACGGGTGGATAGCCGGCGTGGGGGGTCTGGGGCCCCGCCTTCCCCCTCCTGGGGAGGAGGGAGCTGTGCAGACAGCGGCGCGGAGACGTGTGACTTTATGCTCGTTTCTTTTAGGGAAGTTCTATTCACTTGTTCGGCTTTTGGTACCAATATTTTCACCAGAATAGGGGTCTGTTTTGGGATGCTTACCTTTTTGGGTGCCTGACCCGGTCGATAGCAGACATAGAATGCTTCCAACCACATGGGGGTGTCTATAGGCCATTGCTCCCATGCATCTCTGAGGGGGCCAGGTTCTGGCTTGTGATCCCCCGGTAGGCCCACAGAACTCCATACACATGACTGATGCCAAAGTTTGACATTAGCATATCAGCCTAATAAGCTCCGAGGAGTCGAAGGGGCTCCCCCAAGAAAAGCAGAATATAGAAAGAGTAGAAAGAAATGGGGAAGAGGATGGGAAAATAATGGAAAGGTTAGGAGAGGCAATAAGGAAGATAATGTGAGAGACACTCGACGAGGGTTATAAACTAGCTAATACTGAAGTACATGACAATTCCCAGAATTACAAATATTTATTGATTTTTTCACATTAAAATATTTCATTTTTATTTTAGACAAAAGCAGAAAAGGGAAAGGCTAGGAAGGAGTAAGAAAAGAGGAAGACGAGACAGGGGGTAAGAGATATAAGAATAGGGGGAGGGAATTATACAACGTTCAAACGGGCAAGTCTACAGGTGGCTGCTCGAGACCCATCCATCATTGTCTCCCTTTCCCCAACCACTATTTGGAATGTTACAGGGCATGGTGGGTGAATCCAGTCATTAAAGCTTTTTAGATAGAATAATTGTGGACCATTATAGGCTGTTAGCTCATGTTTAATAAACGAAAAGAAGGAATGAGATTGGTAATTGACAATTGAGGAATTTAGTTTTTGTAAGTGCAATAAAGGTGACATTAGGAGAAATATGAAAAAATGATACAAAATACAAGAGATAGAGGAAAGGTGCATATATTTGCAAAATTGCAATAGAGATATGTACTAGGTAAATCACTTGTATGTGAATAAACATAATCTGAATCTGAATTAGAACATGAGAGAGAACACAGGAAATGGGAAGAGGAAATAATGTCGGAAAGAAAAAGGGAAGGATAAAGAGGGCAAGGGCTTCCAGTGCATAATGCATCAGTGTGGGGCATCAGTAGAAAAGATACAAAGAAAAACAAAAACAGAAGAGGAGTTTCTGTGTTTGCATGAGAAGGTAAGATATAATGAACAAGTGCAGAAGAGAAACCATTTACTCATGGGGTATAAATATAGTAATACACTAGTACCATTAAATGCAAAACAAAAATGGATGATGAGCAGATTTGTCATCACAATCAACCTGAATTGATGCCGGGTCAAATGCATGAACAACAGAATCCTGTGGATCAAGGGCCCCAGTGATGGACGAGTTGTCCTCGTCCAAGTGCTTCACTGCAGGAGTCGTGTCTTCAATCTTCTTGTCTTCCTCATCATCATCTTCATAATCCTTACACTTCTCTTGGTCAGGCTGCACGACAACTAGGGATGTCAATGGTGTCACAAAATGATTCTGTAAAATTTAACAAACATTATAGTTTTGCACCATTGATATTTTTAACAATACGTAGCGATATTTTTCTTGTTTTAATGTATAAAAATATGTAAAGTTATGATGTTAATTAAGTAAAATAACATTATAATTACAATACATATTTTATTTTTAATAAAAAGTGAAGGCTAGAGTAAGTGGAGTATAAAACCAGAATTGAATGTAATGAAACGCTTCTTTCTGGACGAGTCCCGGTGATTCCCTGAAGGTATCTTGCCGAGATGGCCCCCAACTACTAAGAGCACATCAGCCGAGGAGTGGAGCTCCGTTTGAACTTCCAAGGACCAGAGCCAGATCCTGGCCTCCTCATAGAGGCACAGAGAACCGGTGACTGCCACCCTCACAGGAAATGCATCTAGAAAGTCAGAGAACCAATACAGACCACTGAGGGATTCAAAGAGACTGAATGCTCGAAACTGCCAAAATCCCCCAGACAATGTAAACAAGCGATCAAATCTCTTTTTCAATTAACGTAAGCTCATTAGTACCGATTCTCCCACAGGGAAAAGGGCCACAGCTCCAGGTCTTCCCCCACCTTCCAAGTTTGCTCCTCCTGGAGCAAACGGGAAGAAATACACGCAACGACAAACCTGAAAGGGAGAGGGGGGGGGGAATTAAGGATCCACTGGGGCTCATCCAGAAAGCGACGTTTCATTATACGTATTCAATTCTGGTTTTCTGTGGGGGCCCCTTGTGGCTCCCTGAAACTAAATACCAACAGAGAATGAGAACCAGAGACTCACCAGGGAGGAAAAGAAAATGTAGGCAATCAAGATGAAGAGACGATTCATTGAGAGATAACCCAAGGCAACACAGGCATTACGAGGACCATGGACATTAAATAACGAGCCACCAAGTCCCTGGTAGACCACCAAAGCCCCTCCATGCCCAAATATCAACGCAGGACATGATGTTTCTAAATGTGGTGCAAGAGCACCACATTTATATGGGTATGAGGGTAGACTGCAGGTTGGTTGGACTTCATGACACTGCAAATGACCTGAGAACCACAAGCCTTTGAACAGGGAACTAAGGACAGCCCTGAACACATGCAGCTTCAAGTTCCCTACAAGCCAGGGGCTAGATTCACGAAGCAGTTATGCAAGTACTTAAGAACGTGTACATCTTTCCTCAATCTTTGACGCTTTTGGTTACATTTATTAAACAGTTTACAAGCATGAAACTTCCCAATCAACTGTTGTTATTGTTATAAACAGTCTCCTGGTGCTTCGGAGCTCATTATCTGTTTAATAATTGTAAACAAAGCCGCCAAAGATTGAGAAAAGATGTAGAGGTTCATAAGTGCTTGCGTAACTGCTTCGTGAATCTGGCCCCAGGTCTACAACATAAACCAGACAGAAAACACGCTTGTGAATCTAACTAAAATATGGACCACCACCAAGCAAGTGGCCCCAGCAGGAGACAGCTCAAGGATGGCCGCCACTTAGCTTAGAAGCAGCAAGACCTGTGTTGCTTGTTGACAACCTAGGAACCCCTACAGTAGGCAACCAATTGTGTCCACATCAGCCTGGAATGACTTGGAGCACTTTTAAAGACCTGGAGCTATGCCCTCCCCCCATTGGTGATGGGGTGGAGGGGGTTTGTGCTAACACACACATGCTAGTTTCAAAAGATGGAGTTCATTTGGCAGTTTTGAGGTTTCAGTCTCCTTAAATCCAACAGTGATTGGTTCCCTGACTTTCTGGATGCTTTCTCAGTGGGGTGGCAGTCGCCCACTTTTTGTGCTTTTATGAAGAGGCTAGGTTCTGGCTCTGGTCCCCAGTAGTCCAAATAGAACTCCATGGCTGATATAACCTAGTAGACGGGAGCCATTTCAGCAAGATAGCTTCAGAGCGCCACAAGAGACTCCACCAGAAAATATATAAAATATTGAGTGATAACTGTTCATTCCCTGAAACATTCCAATCATCCATTCTTTGAAGCATTCCAACAGTCTCAGTTCTGTCTTCAGCAAACGTATTGTTTCCTGTGACCTGTAGTGTCTATTACTAAAATAACATAAGCGATTTATATTCTAGATAAGTTACATGACACTAGTTATGATTTGATTACAGAATGGTGAATGAGAGTGATATTCCTGGTCACCTTATTCTGAATATAAATCCAGACCACCGCTTTAAAAGATCACATGTAACACAGACAAGGGGCAACAGCTTGAAGCTCAACAAGCAACAATATAGGACAGAAAAGAGCAGATGCTCTTTCACCAGCCCGTTCTCATACACAAAGGCCAAAATACATTCCAAACCCTCGCCATACTCCCTGTTTATGAATGAAAACCAGCTTACACACAACTCACAACTGATGACATCTGAACACTTCCGGAACAAGTGCTTCACTGGCGACTTTTGTTCAAACCACAACACTGTAAATGCTTCACCCATGTACTATAAATGCAAATAATCAACAAATCCTAAACACCTAACCTAACCATGACTAAATATGCACAATATGCTAATATATAATAATATTAATTTACTGTGTACTGTACGTATTTGAGAAAATTCTTAGCATTAAACTGCATCTGCCAATCTTTTGACCATTTCAAAACCCTATTTAGATTGTCTTGAAGTGATAGTGAGTCTTATTCTGTGTTTATTTCCCTCCCGACTTTTGTATCATCTGCAAATTTGCAAATATTGCTGCTCAAACCTGAATCTAAATCATTTATATATATTATGAATAACAGAGGTCCCAGGACAGAGTCTTGAGGCACTCCACTTACAACATTTTTCCACTCTGACTTAACCCCATTTATACTAACTCTGTTTCTTTTGGTATAGCCATGCCCTAATCCAACTTAATATAGCACCCCCAATACCATGAGCCTCTATAATTTTAATCAGTCTTTCATGTGGCACGGTATCAAAAATTTTGCTAAAGTCAAGGTACACAACATCAGAAACCTTACCACTATCAATACCAAGATGATTTCTACATATTGAACAAAAGAATGATAATAAAATTGTGAAGAATGCATTCAAGTGAAGCTGACAGTAGTAAAAGGGGAAGGAGGAGACTGAGAAGAAGAAGATAGGCTGACTTAGTGAGAGAGAGTGTGCGTGTGTGTGTGTGGAAATAAAAATCAACTTTGAACAATGCATGTGATATGTGATATAAGGCTGGATAGTAGCAATTTGTAAAGAGAGAATGTATTTGCATTACATATAATAACTGGTAAGGAGCACTGTACACCTGGCTTTATGAGCACATGTGCTGCTGCTCTGGCTGACAGCTCTAGTGTAATGGTGCTTATTTATCCATTTCTATCTCTATATGTATGGATGATATAATAAGAAGACAATTGCAATTTTTAAAGACCTACGATCTTGTCATTATATTGATTCCCTTTTCTCCAGGCTGTTGTCACTCCCATGAAAGTGGGAGCAGACTAACGATAATGATGGAGACGATAAATCTTTTTTTTTTGTATAGATTTGTATAGATTTAGATGTATAGATTTTTTTTTTTTTTTTTATAGGGGAGCCGGTCGGCCGAGTGGACAGCACGCTGGACTTGTGATCCTGTGGTCCTGGGTTCGATCCCAGGCGCCGGCGAGAAACAATGGGCAGAGTTTCTTTCACCCTATGCCCCTGTTACCTAGCAGTAAAATAGGTACCTGGGTGTTAGTCAGCTGTCACAGGCTGCTTCCTGGGGGTGGAGGCCTGGTCGAGGACCGGGCCGCAGGGACACTAAAAAGCCCTGAAATCATCTCAAGATAACCTCAAGATTGATTATTACATGAAAAACATACCAAACATGAACATATGAAGTCAGTTTAACATGAATCATTATAGCCCATTATGTACCATTAATTTTATACACATTTGTTCTTCAACGACCTAATGAACGAAGCTCGACCTTCCTCAATACTAACCTACTTCGTCTTTGGACACAAACTCCTCTCCACCCCGTTAAAAACAAAACAAAAAAACTTAGCCTCAAATCTCTTATTACTACAGATACAGTAGACTCTCAGTCCTACAAAGGAACATGTTGCTCAAGACGCCTTGCAAAATTGCACTGCTTACTATTTTGTGAAATTACTCTCGAGAAATATCCGATAACATTGCTGATCTAAGACCTTTATTCCATGAACAATAACGTATGCATAGCTATAATTTTAAGATCTATTAACACGGTACAACATACTGGTACAACTAAATGTATATAATGCTTTTATGTACGATAAACAGCCTTACTGTCACAATAAAGTACAATACACTTTAATCTGGGGTTTAAAGAAACAAAATGCTAACAGGTTCTGTTATGATCACATTTTAATTTATTGAGAACCAAAAAACTAATTTGGTTATTACTTTCTATGATATGTATCTATGCATTAAAGCCAACTACTTGTACATTGAAAAAGATAAAAAATTTCGATCGTGGTACCAATGACTTGTGATCAAGTGTAAAGCCAAGAGTTGAATGTGTTAAATCGAAAAATGGTCTCAATTCTTACCCCGCATAGAAGGTGGAGGGTGTAAAATCCCTATGTGCAGAACTGGGAGTCTATTGTACATATCAACACTAATGCTGATATCATTTCTTACATCCAATAACCTTTAACTCTTTGTGCACAGTATTTCTGAAATTTTCAAAAAGTATAAGTAAATGCAGCAAGTAATGCATTTCTAGACACTTTTTACTGAATTTTTATCATTTTAAGAATAACTATCAAAGTACAGAAGGCTCCAGATTTACAAGGGAGATGTGTTACTGCAAGTAATTATCAAAAGAAATGTGTTACTGGAAAACATCTTTCAAAATAAAACTGCCAAAAAGTGAATTCTAAGGAACAGCAAGTGTCAAAAACCTTAAGGTTCTAGTGATGTGATATGGGAGCCCAATTGGCAAAATATGCATATGGCATGTGTCACAATGTTATGGGATATTAAAAGCGGTGCAAAGACTCCTCTGCACAGTGTGCCAACTCCCACTTAACCTGTGTAATGTGAATATCGCCGTGTACAGTACAGTACTACTAAAAAAAAAAGGAATAAGACAAAAACTGTAAAGCTGTATTATCTGATATTATGAATAGCATCTGCCATCTGTAGAAATATTGTCTAAGGAAGAGAAAGAGAACCTACCTCATCAGTGCCATTTGTCACCCAGACTGAAATACTGTATTATAGTGGAAAACACCTACAAGACGTGAAATGATCTGAAGCAGTCACCCTGCAAACCCCAAGTAAGTACCCTGTGATCCCGGAAACATGCCCAAAATTAAGAGACTTGACCAATGATCTGCCCAGCAATCCAGCACCAGACCACATTACCTAATAATTGAGGACACAAGGAACTGTGGTATGAATGAAAAGGTTCACTTAAACTGACTCCTCAGCACAAAACTGCCTAATTGTGCAAGGATTCAGCCCCCACACAAGCTGTACGCAAGCACAAAACACACAAACACACACTATCTACTGTACCTCATCTGCCCCTATGGTCGATTTTCTTTAGAGTTGGACGCATTTAACATTCCTTGGTACTAATTGCTTTCACTGACAGTTGACTTCATTAAACTGAAAATGGTCAAAATATTTACATGATAACAGTGCACTGCATTAAACCCTAATGTACAGAATATGGAGTCTACTATTCTTCATTTTGTGTTTTACTCCACATTCATATGTTAGTACGCTACATTCACAAACTGTCATCTTTACCCATTCTTCCAAATTATTAATTCAATAATAATAATAATTATTATTATTTATCTGTAAGATATAAATGAGTCAGATTACATAGGTACATGCATATTATAATGTACATGCATATGTATACCAGTATGGAATTCAATACTGAAAGTATTAAAAACACTGAAATCTGTTGACATGTGATTTTTTTCTTTACCTCAAGAGCGATAACGAGAGCTTTCTTCTGTGCAACAGCTTTCTCGTGAGGTCCCCTTGCGGCTTTACCCTCCTCCAGAAGATCCTTTAAAAGAGAGAGAAAAAGTCTAATCATGTTTCAACATATTTATAATTTAATCAGTTATTCATCAATCTACTGTATATAATATTTAAAAAAAATATCAAGTGTTGAATGTAACACTGGTCAACAAGTTATCAAAAGTTGTCTGTTCTGAGATGAAAAGAGCTGTTTATCATATTAGGGAGCCAGTCGGCCGAGCGGACAGCACGCTGGACTTGTGATCCTGTGATCCCAGGTTCGATCCCGGGTGCCGGCGAGAAACAATGGGCAAAGTTTCTTTCACCCTATACCCCCTGTTACCTAGCAGTAAAATAGGTACCTGGGTATTAGTCAGCTGTCACAGGCTGCTTCCTGGGGGTGGATGCCTGGTCGAGGACCGGGCCGCGGGGACACTAAAAGCCCCGAAATCATCTCAAGATCACCTCAAGATGCATTTTGACATGCTGAACTCAAATAAAATCATTTAAATTACTGATTAGCCATTATGTATGAGGGTGGTAACAAAATCTTACTTTATTTAACAAGTGGTAAATGCTGTATATTTTTCACCCAGGCTCCAGTGATGGATGTAGTGGCCAGTCATACATAACATAACAGTACTGGGAAACTCTCGCACAGCTATCCAACTTGCAATGAAAACAGCAGTTTTTTGTTTATCCACCCTGCAGACCCATCATAAGAGCAATAACCTTCAAGTTGCCACAGAGCTCTCATTGATGTTCGTCATTGTTTATGCACCTCAAAAGCTGCTTCATGTTATCATAATTTTCCATCATATGGGCTGCATAACCAAATGGAATTAATGGGAAAACACTCCCATTATGAAGCAAAAGACATTTTAGATTCATCTTCATCATCTTCATCTTAGGGAGCCGGTCAGCCGAGCGGACAGCACGCTGGACTTGTGATCCTGTGGTCCCGGGTTCGATCCCAGGCGCCGGCGAGAAACAATTTGCAGAGTTTCTTTCACCCTATGCTCCTGTTACCTAGCAGTAAATAGGTACCTGGGTGTTAGTCAGCTGTCACGGGCTGCTTCCTGGGGGTGGAGGCCTGGTCGCAGACTGGGCCGCGGGGACACTAAAGCCCCGAAATCATCTCAAGATAACCTAAAGATAACCTATCTTGGATGAAAGCTAGACCTAATCAGCAATTTTAAATATTTCCAAGTGACCCAGAATTGATCAAGATTGATTCATTTTGGTTTCATAAATATTTTGGCTGTAATTATATTTGACCGGTGCATTTTGATAAACTGAAATATTTTGACCAGTGTAATTAAATGCTCTTTTATGGGGAGTTAAATGCTCTCTTCTGGGAGGAGCCCTTCAGGAACTCTTCAAGCTCTTCAGTATTCTAGCCAAACCTTGGGTAACATCCCAGGTCACCAAGATCCACCCTTGCCTACTGGGACCCGTGATTAATAAACTTTGGCTCTCTTTACAAGAAAACAGGATCTTGAGGATCTGTGATTAATAAAAAAAACAAAAAAAAAAAAAACAGCGTTGAATGTAATGAAACGCCATTTTCTGAGCAAGCCCCAGAGGCTCCCTGGAGCTATCGAGCTAATATGCGATGTATTAAGACTAGGGCAATAGTCAATGGAGTTCAGCTTACCAGGGACCACGAGCCAGGACCTGGGCCCCCCCTCAGAGAGGCACCGGGAGCAATGGCCCCTGGAAAACCTCCTCCTGGTTGGGGGCTTTCCTAATCTGCCATCAACCAGAGTTAGGCACCCAGAAAGATAGGCATACGAAAACAGACCCCACATGGTAAGAAAATTACAATTGAAAACCGAACAGAGAAGCAGAACTCCCCCAATTCCCAAGGAAACAATCAAACGTCGCACATCACCACTGCACCGCTCGTCCGTGCAGCACCCCCCCCACTAGGAGGGGGAGCCCATGACCCTCTGTGCCGGCTACCCAGCAACCCCAGTTTGGAGGCTAGGCATCAAAACAATGCAAAAACTGCTGACGGAGGGAGGCATGGTGCCAGGGAGCCTCCGGGGCTTACCCAGAAAATGATGTTTCATTACATTCAATGATGGTTTTCTGAGGGGAGTAAGAGACTTGACCAATGATCTGCCCAGCAATCCAGCACCAGACCACATTACCTAATAATTGAGGACACAAGGAACTGTGGTATGAATGAAAAGGTTCACTTAAACTGACTCCTCAGCACAAAACTGCCTAATTGTGCAAGGATTCAGCCCCCACACAAGCTGTACGCAAGCACAAAACACACAAACACACACTATCTACTGTACCTCATCTGCCCCTATGGTCGATTTTCTTTAGAGTTGGACGCATTTAACATTCCTTGGTACTAATTGCTTTCACTGACAGTTGACTTCATTAAACTGAAAATGGTCAAAATATTTACATGATAACAGTGCACTGCATTAAACCCTAATGTACAGAATATGGAGTCTACTATTCTTCATTTTGTGTTTTACTCCACATTCATATGTTAGTACGCTACATTCACAAACTGTCATCTTTACCCATTCTTCCAAATTATTAATTCAATAATAATAATAATTATTATTATTTATCTGTAAGATATAAATGAGTCAGATTACATAGGTACATGCATATTATAATGTACATGCATATGTATACCAGTATGGAATTCAATACTGAAAGTATTAAAAACACTGAAATCTGTTGACATGTGATTTTTTTCTTTACCTCAAGAGCGATAACGAGAGCTTTCTTCTGTGCAACAGCTTTCTCGTGAGGTCCCCTTGCGGCTTTACCCTCCTCCAGAAGATCCTTTAAAAGAGAGACAGAAAAAGTCTAATCATGTTTCAACATATTTATAATTTAATCAGTTATTCATCAATCTACTATATATAATATTTAAAAAAAATATCAAGTGTTGAATGTAACACTGGTCAACAAGTTATCAAAAGTTGTCTGTTCTGAGATGAAAAGAGCTGTTTATCATATTAGGGAGCCGGTCGGCCGAGCGGACAGCACGCTGGACTTGTGATCCTGTGATCCCGGGTTCGATCCCGGGCGCCGGCGAGAAACAATGGGCAAAGTTTCTTTCACCCTATACCCCCTGTTACCTAGCAGTAAAATAGGTACCTGGGTATTAGTCAGCTGTCACAGGCTGCTTCCTGGGGGTGGATGCCTGGTCGAGGACCGGGCCGCGGGGACACTAAAAGCCCCGAAATCATCTCGAGATCACCTCAAGATGCATTTTGACATGCTGAACTCAAATAAAATCATTTAAATTACTGATTAGCCATTATGTATGAGGGTGGTAACAAAATCTTACTTTATTTAACAAGTGGTAAATGCTGTATATTTTTCACCCAGGCTCCAGTGATGGATGTAGTGGCCAGTCGTACATAACATAACAGTACTGGGAAACTCTCGCATAGCTATCCAACTCGCAATGAAAACAGCAGTTTTTTGTTTATCCACCCTGCAGACCCATCATAAGAGCAATAACCTTCAAGTTGCCACAGAGCTGTCATTGATATTCGTCATTGTTTATGCACCTCAAAAGCTGCTTCATGTTATCATAATTTTCCATCATATGGGCTGCATAACCAAATGAAATTAATGGGAAAACACTCCCATTATGAAGCAAAAGACATTTTAGATTCATCTTCATCTTAGGGAGCCGGTCGGCCGAGAGGACAGCACGCTGGACTTGTGATCCTGTGGTCCCGGGTTCGATCCCGGCGCCGGCGAGAAACAATGGGCAGAATTTCTTTCACCTTTTGCCCCTGTTACCTAGCAGTAAATAGGTACCTGGGTGTTAGTCAGCTGTCATGGGCTGCTTCCTGGGGGTGGAGGCCTGGTGGCAGACTGGGCCGTGGGGACACTAAAGCCCCGAAATCATCTCAAGATAACCTCAAGATAACCTATCTTGGATGAAAGCTAGACCTAATCAGCAATTTTAAATATTTCCAAGTGACCCAGAATTAATCAAGATTGATTCATTTTGGTTTCATAAATATTTTGGCTGTACAGTAATTATATTTGACCAGTGTATTTTGATAAACTGAAATATTTTGACCAGTGTAATTAAATGCTCTTTTATGGGGAGTTAAATGCTCTCTTCTGGGAGGAGCCCTTCAGGAGCTCTTCAAGTTCTTCAGTATTCTAGCCAAACCTTGGGTAACACCCCAGGTCACCGAGATCCACCCCTGCCTACTGGGACCCATGATTAATGAACTTTGGCTCTCTTTACAAGAAAACAGGATCTTGAGGATCTGTGATTAATCCAAAACCAAAAAAAAACAGCGTTGAATGTAATGAAATGCCATTTTCCGAGTGAGCCTCAGAGGCTCCCTGGAGCTATCGAGCTAATATGCGATGTATTAAGACTAGGGCAATAGTCAATGGAGTTCAGCTTACCAGGGACCACGAGCCAGGACCTGGGCCCCCCCTCAGAGAGGCACTGGGAGCAATGGCCCCTGGAAAACCTCCTCCTGGTTGGGGGCTTTCCTAATCTGCCATCAACCAGAGTTAGGCACCCAGAAAGGTAGGCATACAAAAACAGATCCCACATGGTAAGAAAATTACAATTAAAAACCGAACAGAGAAGCAGAACTCCCCCAATTCTGCTTCAATTCCGCCCCAATGTGTGGGTTCGGTTACTAATTTTCTGCCACATTATTGTGACGAATTCTCTGTTTATGCAGGCGTGTTTCAAATTACCGTACTGTATCTACATGCATGAAAAAAATACCAAGAATTTTCATCCCGGCAAACAAAGGGTGGAATCCCCAGTACACATACCAGTCATAAATCGAAATACAAATTATAAATGCTATGAAAATAAATACTCCAATATATATTAAAGTAGATAGTGTACTTAGAAACTGAGCTATGTCTGTAATGTCCCAGTAATGAATTTTTGTTTTTTGACCAAACACAAGCGCTATCAGTTTCACATTGATATGGAAAAAAATTTGCAAATCAGGCTTTGAGTCAATATGAGAATCTCCATTCTGAGCACACACACTATTAGTTACTAAGAGTAATAATGAACTGTATCATACATAGGTTTCATAAAGACAAAGCAATTCTCTATCTTTCACAACAACAAAATGCCAAACAAAACATGTATGGGGCAAGCAACAAAATCATTAGATTAGATGTTGTCACATTCACATTCATCAAAAGTATTCAACTCACTACATTTTAATCCAACATGTCGGCTACCATCAAAATATGCCACTTGGTGACAAGAATGTCTTTTTATCCAAGAGAAGATATGCATGCAAATATATGACTAAATAAATATTAACAAAATTTTTATCTTTTTATAATACCATATGTATTACCTTAATTCTCAAGAAAGCCCATAACCTTTTAATAAAGTTTCTTGGAGTCGGGGCAAGATGCAGGTGATCTAGCAGATGGTGGTCTGGTGGAACAACAGTGTTCCAGTCCGTGACACCCATAAAGAACTCGCCGTTGCGTCCCTGACCAGTGATGTTTGCTCGGATGTTTCCTAGTTGACCTTGCTCTGTCTGCCCTGTTACTACAAGCTCTGTACCCTGAACAAAGAAAACAAAATTAAATATAATATATAATTTTTGCTAATGAAAGAGGGTCATCAAAAATGCAGGAAGGCTTTGTTTGAGAGTAGAACAAAAAATTATTTTCTAAACAAATCACTTGATTACTCCCTTAAACAATGTCATGATCTATCAAGGACATGACCAAAAACTGTGAATGACGTCAACAGTCACTCTCTCGGCGTAGCTCCGATGTTTTCAAGCACCCCTCATCCTCAAGCCATCAATGGAAGAAAGAGAGACACTATAGATTATCCCTATCCAGCCCAGAATGACCTACTGACAGTTCATTAATCAACAATAAAGCACTCCCTCAAAGCAATACTCAGACTAATATAGAGACTGGTTATGACGAGAACTGCATCAACACAGTTTCAAACATCCAGACACACAGACCCTTGCAAAAATCATCAGGCCAAATGTTAACATATGACAAAATGACAGAGAAAAATGCCTTGAGGGTAGTTAACTTCTGTACATTATGAGCACATGGCTTAGCCTGTAACTATGATTCACTACCCGTGAATCCTGGATTCAATTCCTGGGTGGGACAGACAAGGTAGGAAATGTTTCATTTCACCTAATCCCCCTGTTCACCAAGCAGTGAATAGGTACCTGGAAGTTCGTGAATGGTTGTGGGTTGCATCCTGGGAAGAACAGTAGTTTGACCTTAGGAAGATCTCAATATAAGCCTAAAGTATAAACATTATATTCACAGGCTGCCAATCCCTGACAAAATGAATTATTATTAATTATTACTAGGGGGTTAATGAACAAGGTATTGGAAGCAGAGTAACAAGACTCTGGAAGATACTGGAGCAAAGTTGCTACAGGATAGTTGATGAGGCTATACAACAAAGGATAAAACTGTTAGGAAAAGATAATATCCCATAATCAGTCAGTTAACCTGACTAATTGTTAATTGGTTAATTGAACATGTAAATATCCTTGCTCTTGGCTTGGTTATGCTGATAAGCTTAACAGGTTTCTCTTTCCTGGCAAAGGATATACCAGGTACGCCAAGTTCTAATGCATGGTTCCAGTCCCTCAACAGCAAAAAAAAAAAAAAAAAAAAAAAAAAAAAAAAAAAAAAAAAAAAAAATTTTTTAGATCTATCCCAACTCAAAGAAAGACAGGATTGTGAGAGCCTGTGAAGCATCAGAAAGTCGGTGCTCTACCTGGAGCACACTGAATGAGAGGCAGACAAGGAGGCATCATACTCAAACTGTAGAGGAATGGTACAAGAACCCTCCAACCTGGTGGTAAATGACATCGGGTCTGGTCACCAAAACTCAAAAAGGGTTAAACAGAAATTGGGTAGGTTTCTTGGGCAATGCCTTCAACGAAATATTCTCCTCCATTAGAGAAGAGGAGGGGGTCCGCCAAGGAGTCCAGCCCAGGATCCCAACCCAACTACATAGCAGTAACAAAAGATGTGGATAATATCAGAAAAGACTTGGTTGTTCACAAACACCCTCTTGTGGAACAGATACCTAAAGCTCAACCCAGAAACCACCTCCTTAGGCACTTGCATGAGCAAAATAAAAAGCTATTTGAAAACCACAGCCAGAAGAGAATTTGAGAAGCCATGTGCCTTCCCAACCATTATACAAAGGTGACATACCGATCAAAATGATCTAAGTGTGCGTGCCAAATACTAACACCTTGGCCTATGGCAAAGTTTCAAGGAACTGCAATGACAAGTGAATAACTCATGAGGAGATTGACAGCAGCTGAGGCATGAACAGGACTAACACAGAGAAAATAACTAATGTCAGCTGGTTAAAAGAAACTTAAGAGACAAAAATTTATGTAATCAGGCACATGAAAGCTTCCACTTAGCAGTATAAGCCCAGTGCACAAGTCACTTGACTGAACAATTAAATCCTCTGTCTAATGAGGTCAGTGTCATGGAGAAGTCAGGATCAATTTTTAAGGACTAGCAGCTCCTTGTTACTCTGTTGACAATATACTTTCTGACAACTGATGGCAGTCAGCAGCTAGGTGATTCAACTATCAGTTAACAGAGCAATGCTTGTGTGTATAAAAGCGAGTATTGTTTGGAGAAGGTTTGGAGAGTAGATAAAGCATCCTTCTGGAGGTCTTTCCAGGCTTGAATGTTTCCCAGTGTCTCTTCTCCCACTCTGATATGGCAGGGATGTTTAAAATAATTCCCGAGGCACAGGAAATAAGTGTAACATAACCTGGGTGAGTTTATTCCTAGCCATGGGAAGGTGAAGATACTGCCCAAGTATATTCAACTGTATGGAATAGCTCATAAAAGTAGATAACTTTTAAACAAATGTCTATATAAATTACTGTATTTGTAGCTACCCATTACACTGTATATGAATTTTGTCAATAAAGATTTAATTTAATAAACAAAACAAAGGCAAATATTAATTCATGAAAATTAACAAAAACTGTACAAACTGCATTTTTCTTTCTTTAAAATAAATGTACATTCAATATTTGCCCCTTTATAAATTCTACGAAACTTGTGGTTTTACTATTATGCATTACTGTGGTTTAGGTGTTATTTTCAAGATATTGAATTTCTTATTAGGTGATTGGAAAGCAATAACAGGTATTTATATATATACAGTACATATTATTTACCTGGAAGTAATTGTAAAAGTGTGTTTTACTAAGGCTATCCATCTGCACAGCATCTCCAGAATAACTGAATTGGACATCAAGGAGAATGGGGGTCGACAGCTCTTGGTAGAAGCCCTTCAGTTGTTCTGCAGCGTCGTGTTCCTCGTAGATCTTGCGTGCACTCCCCCGGTTCTTTGCAATGAATTTACATGTCTTTATTGATAAAGATCCGTGCTGGGTAAACTATCAGATGCACTAGAGAGAACAGACAATATTTTCAAATGTTTTGAAAGGCAAAGGAATTAGAAACCTTAATATAGGCATAATCCAACCCATTCTCCTAAGGTTTCCCAATGTCAAGAAACTGTCATACTAAAGTGCCCTTATTCTAATCTACCAGGAGACCCAAAACTGAAAACGGGACTATGTCAATTTCGTGAGCCGCTACCATTTCCTAGTATGACAGTTTTTGGCCTTGGGTAAAGTATTGGTCAAAATACGACCCTCTATTAGGAGGACGGCTTGCAGAATGGAATCTGATGTTAAAAGTGTGTGGAATGAAAACTGTGGACTTGAAACCAATGTAAGAGAAAAACTGACATAAATAATAATAAAATATAAACACAAATAACAAGCTATGAATGGGCAGGTACTATACTAGATTAGATAGTACACTACTGTATTGAGGTGGATATATGGAATTTATAACTACACAGCAAACAGCATTAGCATCAGATGGTTCAGTGAATCACTCTGACCATCATCATTATCTATTTTACACTATCAAAGGGTAGCAAGGAATTTTTCCAGAAAAGACAGGAGTAACAGAAAAAATCAGCGTTGAATGTAATGAAACGTCATTTTCTGGGCGAGTCCCGGAGGCTCCCCGGAGCTATCCCAGGCTGATATGCTAATGCCAGACTTTGGCATCAGTCATGTGTATGGAGTTCTTAGGCCTACCGGGAACCACGGCCAGAACCGGGCCCTCTCAGAGAGGCAAGGGGAGCAATGGCCTATAGAAACCCCCATGTGGTTGGAAGCATTCTATGTCTGCCATCGACCGGATCAGGCACCCAGAAAGGTAAGTGCCCCAAAACAAACCCCTATTCTGGTTAAAATTGCTACCAAAAGCCGAACTAGTGAATAGAACTCCAACAGAAAACAAGCAAACTAGTGTGACGTCACACGACGCCGTGCTGCTGTCTGCGCAGCTCCCCCCTCCCCGGGAGGGGGAAGGGGAAGCCCCAGATTTTGATTTCGTGATTTTGACATCCAGCCTCAGAACTGAGGTGTGGGTAGCCAGCGTGAAGGGTCTGGGGCTCACCCTTTTCCCTCCCGGGGAGGGGGGAGGTGCGCAGACAGCGGCGCGGCGACGTGTGATGTCACACTAGTTTGCTTGTTTTCTGTTGGGGAGTTCTATCCACTAGTTCGGCTTTTGGTAGCAATTGTAACCAGAATAGGGATTTGTTTTGGGGCGCTTACCTTTCTGGGTGCCTGATCCGCTCGATGGCAGACATAGAATGCTTCCAACCACACGGGGGTTTCTATAGACCATTGCTCCCGTTGCCTCTCTGAGTGGACTCGGTTCTGGCCGTGGTCCCCGGTAGGCCTAAGAACTCCATACACATGACTGATGCCAAAGTCTGACATTAGCATATCAGCCTGGGATAGCTCCGGGGAGCCTCCAGGACTACCCCCAGAAAAAAAAAAGACTGAAAGGCATAAAATATATTCAGTGATACAGATACCTACACAACACTACTCTTCACACACAGTAGTCCATGGCAAAGTATCATTACCACACTTCTGCAAAGCATTCTCTCAGATGCTGTATAGACTCTATGTATTTTTTGTATCTGTATCTTATGTATCTAATTAATTCTTTTATATATCAACAAATAAAACATTTCTACCCTCCACTCACTTAGTGCCAGTACTGTATATATATCATTACATACAACTTCCAGAAATCAGCGATATTTATTCTGCTATATACAACAGTATATACTGTAATGAAAAAATTAACTTTCAACACTTAAAAGAAAAAAAAAGTCTTGACTCCTCAGTTAGATGTGCTTTAACCTCCCTCAAATTCCACAACACATGCTGTCATTTGGACTTTCAGCTGTGGTCAGCGCTTGCAAACTGTTAAATGTTTTGAAACACTATGATATGCACTTAAATACACGTACGCAGTTTACATTAATTTTTAATTCTGGTACATTTTTATGACTGCATTACAGCACTCTCAAAATTAACAATATATATATATATCCTAAACATCCTAAACCATTGTTTCTTTCAGGAAGCTGTACAAATAATGTCAAAATGAATAATGAGCAATACATCAATAGTACATTCTAAAGTAAAATAATAAAAATGACACCAGTAATTAGTTGTAAACATGTAATTGTCTTCTCACTGTTAGATTATACCGCTGTCCTTGTTTCGGTCTGTCATTCAAACAAGCACTTGTATATAAACTATAAGAGATGTCTTCGACAAACCTGAAGGGCAATCTTTTCCAGAAGATGCATATCTGCTCCACTGCCAAAGCCAAGGCAGAAAATAGCAGCTCCCTTCTTATTTCTTTCCCGGACATTCCTTAAAATGGCTGAAGGAGATATGACCCCGGTAGTAGCTTGACCATCAGTCAGCATGACGACGATGTGCGGTCGCACCGATTCCGACACCACCACATCCATCTCCTGCTCAATGGACATCTGCAAGAAGGATGTATGATGCAATACCACCACAAGTAAACTTCCAGAGAAGCGCATGTGAAACTCATTTGCGAGAAGTCAAATTGTAATCGGACTGTAGGTAGCATCTTGCTTTGCTCTTCATATAATTTATTAGGACCTTTTAAGCATAGCTTATGCTCAAGGACTAGTATTTAAACAATGATAACTGCATTTGTATTCAAAGCAAAGCAATTCTTTCAAAATAAAGATTTAAATTATAATTTATTTAAATATAACAAAGGATCATACAAATATCAATTCAGAAGAGGATAGACATTTTTCCTTACAGAAAAAAAATATTATGGAAACAGTGCATTATCATAAACCCCATCTATCTCACTGTCATCTTTTATCCAAACCCATAAAACACTACGTACATAAAGAAACACACTAGTGCAGTGGACATGACAACTGGTGCATGGATACGCAGTGCAGTGCTGGTGCTGCGTGCTTCACAGGTGCAGTACACAATCTAGATTTCAGGAAGGTGCTTAGAATGTAGTTTACAAATAATCTGAAATGAGGTGAAGTTGCGCTGTATATACTGTAATGAGGTGGCGATGGAAGAAGGCTACAAGAGTATTTCAAGAGAAGACAGTCGCAAACAACAGAGAAGATTAAGGGGCTGGTGCTCAGGTGCTGTCAGTGAAAAGTGCAATGTGAGGCAAAGGAGCTGAGGCCCATATGATTCCACACTCTTGCCATTAAATAGGGCCAAATTTTGCACTAAAAATATATATTTATTTTTATATAAATCATGCAAACCAACAACATGAAATTTCATCTGAAACAACAGACAAAAGACTTACAAATATTAATTTAAATTATCACTTAAAAACCATAATTATTTTGTGATGAATGACAAAGTAAAAGCTTCCTAGGGCCTCAGCCCACAAGAGAGATGTGAGGTGCATTATAAAATGTTGGTGGTGACAGCTGTCTCTGCCTTGTATAGACATCTGGACAAATTTGCGCAGTTTTGAGTAGAGAAAATAAGAATTACAAGTAAATGTGAAACATCCGATATCAAATATAATATTTGGCCAATTTTCAAAAAGCCAAGACAGTGCTGCTTAGTGTCATCTCAATTATGACAATTAATGAATATTTAAAAACTATGGGGGACTAAAATGTAAATTTTGTGGTGCAAAAGTGTGTCGTATTACAATGACAAAGACAACACAGTCATCCCAAAGGCTCAAGAAGAAGCTTTAAAATCATCTTCTTTGCTAGTGATAAGGCATAATGTAATGGTCGTCTCCTGGGCCTGTGAAGGGTGTTACCGGTGGCAAAGATAAGCCCGGCTTGCGTCCAATACTCCTGCCTTTGACTGTACACGCTTGAAGATAATTATGGTGTGGGAAATGTATCCGAGGGGGAAGCCGATGTCGAGAAAGTGCCATCTGAGGGAGGAAGGGAAAAAGCAGCTTAGGCAGAAGCCCTGTTATGAGCTCTTCTCCCGCTACAATGGAGCTGCTCTCTTAAGTTCATTCAACATTTCTTTTGTACAGTGCTTGAAATGGAATGCATATTCATTACTCTCCCAAAGGTAATTTTTAATGAAGAGGATTTTTAATGAAGCGATGGTGCAAACATATCACGTACCAAAATCAACGTTCAAACATCAATTGACACTCACTTCTACACACAGTTCTAATGAAGTGTCGAATTCTCCATTTGTAAAACACATTTTTTGGGTGTTTTTGCTTTAAACCACAATATGGACCACCTTTAATAAACACCTAATTACTTGGCCCTTCAGTACAGGCAACTCAGTAATAATATATATAATTGGAAAAAGTCATAACTGGCATTACAACACAAAGAGGCATTTTCGTATTAACATAATACTGTACCAGACACTGAATTCAAATGATAGAAAAGAGCATGACTTGAAAAAATGTGTGTTCCAATACTTATTTAAAAACAACTTTCATTAGGAGATTTCAACATTACAGTATTATCATAACTATAAAGATTTTATAATAAATTTCATTAATTAAGTACTGTACTGTAAAACCAGTTGCATGCACAGTAAAAATGAGTTTGCTATTAGGAATTGCAGATGGAAGACACATTCATAGAGTAACTTGTATGCCGACACTACTGAATAATAGCTTCTTAACTGTTATATATATGCCCAATGTCAAATGACGTGTAAGGGTTTTTCAAGGTCAAAATGACTTAGGTCAAATGAAGATTTTACCTATGAGTATTGGGTTCTAATCCTAAATGCGTATATTCTCCCCCATGAGAATAATTCTCCCCCATGAAAGGGAGAATTAGTGATGAATTAACATTGCCCAAAGTCACATTAACTGACAAGAAAATGACGGCAGTAATCAGAGGGAATGTATCAAACTGGAAAAGTGTTACCAGTGGAGTGACACAGGGCTCAGTTCTAGCACCAGTAATGTTCACTGTCTATATAAACCATCTTCCAGAAGAAATATGGAATTATATGAACATGTTTGCTGATAATGCCAAGCTACTATGAAAGATTTGGATAATTGTCATGCCCTTAAAGAAGACCTGAACAAAATAAGTGTATGGATCAACACTTGGCAAGTGGAATTTCATTTGAATAAAACCAGCATTGAATGTAATGAAATACCATTTTCTGGGTAAGCCCCAGAGGCTCCCTGAAGCTATCTGAACTGATATGTGCTATATTAGTTTGGGGTCATCAGTCACAGGAGTTCTTATGCCTCCTGGGAACCACAAGCCAGAACCTGGTCCCCTCAGAAAGGCGCAGGGAGCAATGATCTATGAACAATTTATATTTGAAGTACAGTATGTCATAATTGGCATCGACCGGGGAAGGACCCAGAAAGGTAGGCGAATCAAAACAGATCACTCTCTGGATAATCTGTGCAGTCTACATCCAAAAAAGATCAAAATAACTCCCCCCTAGAAAGAAACCCAACAAACAACCTTTCATGCGACTAGCACTTCCGCTCATTAGTGTAAACCCCCCTTCCTTCCCGTAATGGGAGGGGGGAGGGGGAGCCAGCAGTCCATCACTCCAGTTCTTGAACAGATGTGCTGGCGGTCATTTCGGTCATCTTTGTCCTCAAGTTCCTGTTATGGATTTTGCCCTGTTTGGCTGTACCAGCAGTGTGTGTTAGTGTTGGCCAGGTGTCTTCTTCTATGCTGAGCAGCATGCGCCTAGGGTGATCTTCCCTAGGTGCTCTGTAAGTACTAGTACTGCCCTTGAGTTTCAGGGGCCTTTTTTCCTGGGGAGCTCTGGAATCACTCCCCGCTAGAGGACTTCATCGCTTGAGGTTGTCTTCGCTCTTGATGTATGTCGGCGGGTCTTGGTCTTTCCATCTTGTCCCAAGTGAGGGAAGTGTTAACGGCTGGGTGTGGGCGTACTACAGCACACCCAGCCTGCCGTAATACAACGTGGTTGCCAATGCTTCTCTCTGGCTGCCAGTTTGCTTGTTGTGTTTCTTCAGGGGTTTTTAGTTTCCCTTTCTTTTGTTCTTGCCTTTTGTTGACAGTGGAGGTATGCCTAGCCTCTTATGCTAGCCTAGGTGGTGTTGGTGGTCCTCCTCTGTTGCCCCTAAGGGTTCACAGCTGCTGCTGGTAGTCAAGTTTGCCTGCTACTAGACAGGGATTCTACCAGCTTAGCTGTCCCCAGTGCCTGGGCTTCCCATAGGGCTAATTTACCCTACGGGCCCTGGAAACCCCCTGTGGGCTTGGTGGTACCACGGATACTTCTTCAGAGTACACTCTCACCTTGTGCGAAGTTGAAGGTTGCTCGTTGCCCTTGCCTCAGGGTGACAATCAACCATACTGCCTCTGTCATGCTGCCTGTTATGTCAGCGACACCTATGACCTGGAGTCTTGTGGGACTTGTTCCTCGCTTGTGCTTCAATTTACTTATTCCTTGTCTGTTGTTCTCAGGAATCAGGCAGTGGCTGTATTGCATGCTTAATTCATTTTCTTGCAATGTGCTAGGTTGGTTGCCTGATTGGAGGTCACGGAGCTGCCCCACTTGGATTTTAGGGATCAGGATTTGGGGGCATTGGTTGCTTCAACTTTGTTCCTTCTGCGCCTCTGCTTCACTCTCGGGTGGGCATGGTTTGCCCTGCTCCTCCCCCCCCCCCTTCCCTGCTACTGGCTCGTGAATTTCTGAGGGTTTCTGAGTCGGGGCGGGGTTAAGCTCAGGACGAGGCTCGGGTGGCTTCAGGGGCTGCCCCTCCCAATTTGGGTGCGGAGATGGTTGAGCCTGATTTTCCAGCCGAGGCTTCTGGGTCGACCCAACTGACATCCTTTTCTGAAGCTTTTCCCCTGGACTTTTGCCTATTCTTCAGGGGTGGTAGATGTGAAAGAAGGGTTCTGTCCCGGGACCTGTGTCGGGGATTCTCGGGGCTCGGGGTGAGTCCACTTGGAGTGCTTGACCTCCCAGATGCACGTTTTAGATGACTATGCCATGACACGGTAAAATAATTGCAATCTGGGGTACTATTTATTGCACCCTCAAAGATTCTCAAGTTTCAGTGGAAGCCTCTGCAATCCTCGAGGGTGCAGTAATACCCCAGGTTGAAATTCTTTTACCATGTCGTGGCCTGGTCGTCTAGAGCGTGCATCTGGGAATACCCAGCGCATAGGTTCGAATCATTATCACGGCTCCCATGGATTTTCTCAACAATAATATACTAATAATAATAATAGTGTGTTGGGTATGCCCAAATGGGTAAATAAATGTTACCCTTTCACTACCAATGTCTATATCTATATAGGATCTTTGACACCTTGTTTCCTCTGGAACCTTCACCCTATTTTGGTGTGGGTGTACCTGTCCTCAGGTGTTCATAACACATGAACTAAGACTTAAAATAAAAAAAAATGAGAATTGCCTCAGCAAGCACATAGACAGAGGAGCATTTGGGAAAAAATTGGGGGTGACAGTCAAGCACAAGTAATTATAGAGGCAAACGATGCAAACAAAAAACAAAAATCAATGTTTTGCTTTTATATACATAGCTGGCAATCTGTCGCAACATTACTTATGTAAATACAGTATTCAAATTCATGTATTTTAAAACTGAAGTCAGCAGTATAGAAAACCATATACAGGATAGTAAACCTACTTCTTAAAATGATCTTCAGTTCTGTGATGTTGAGAAAAGTGATATACTCGTGGTAGAATACACAACAGTCAACCAAAAGGAATGTACCTTTGGTGACAAAGAATGTAACACAATGTACCCCTTCTTAAATGTTGCCAAGAAGTATGTTAAAAATATACCCTTTTCAATTAATAATCTATCATGTAAGAGGTAAAACAATGTACAGTACTGTACTTTTTCTTGTAAGCTGCCAAGAAAGATATTGTACTGTGTTTTGTCTTGAATACTGTCAAGAAAGGCATTTGGCAATGTGCTCTTTACTGTCGGCTGACTAGAAAGACACAATGGACTCTCATTCAAATGAAATGTGGTGTAAAGGAAAGCTGGATGCATCAGGTGGTGTCTATTCTGGTTGTATGATCATTGTATTTGATTGCAACTGAAAATCTTATGATAGAGCAAGTCTATATAATCACTGGATCAGAATTAGATGCCTAAAAAAACCTAAGAGAAAACAATGAAAATATATACACATTTACACATTTGTTTTAACAAAAGTCATAAATGTTAAATAGCAAAGGAAGTACTTATATTTGATAATGACCAGACCACACACTAGAAGGTGAAGGGACGACGACGTTTCGATCCGTCCTGGACCATTCTCAAGTCGATTGTCACAATCGACTTGAGAATGGTCCAGGACGGACTGAAACGTCGCCGTCCCTTCACCTTCTAGTGTGTGGTCTGGTCAACATACTTTAGCCACGTTATTGTGACTTATATTTGGTCACGACACAATTCAGGTTACAGAGGATAGGGGGGTGTGGTATGAATTTGTCCATTCGAGCAGGAGTACACTGTATTGCACATTGTGTCCTTTCATGTAAGCTGATAGATCAGGATGACAACAAAGCTTAATGCCTCAAGTCTTAACAAGAAGAAGCACTGTCCCAAGCTAATATGTACTCGGTAACAATTTTTAGAGTACATAGATGAATCCCATCCAGCAGTGATATATAATTTTGATAAATATCAGTATCCACTTAAGTTACAAGAAAAATTATACTGGAAGGAATGTGGTTATTCTCTTATACTGTACTCTAAATGTACTGCACATATTTCTGTCTTCTTTTAATTTATACATTTTTCTGCTATACCTTTTCTGCAATACTTTCTGCCGTTCCTTGAAAATTTAAATATATACTGTACGTATATCTAAAATAATACATATATCTTATGTATATCTTTATATACGTATAAAAAGTACGTATATTTTTAATTCATACAACTGAATCATATAATTTTTACAAGTAGTCAGATTGGAAGAGAATCACTGCTAAAAGGGTGTTTGCATGCGGTAGAGAATGTTGGAAAATATACAAAAACCACTCAACGAAGGTAAAAGCATTTTGAAGCTTATCTTTTGAAGTTTAACTGTTTGAGGTTAGAGGGATAATTAACACTGAGGACCCTGTCAGGAAAATAACTTCACTCTATTAAATACAAATTCAAAGTTTCAAGATGCTATACACCCTCAGCACTATTGTCCAACACACACACAACTATATGTAAAGATCCAATAAACAAACCTTAAGGCCTTCATCAATGTTTGTTCCTCCACGAGCTTCAAGATTATTGATATATTTCTTGGCTTTCCTCACAGCTGTACCAGTATAGCGCATTGTTCCAAGTTTGTGAGTGTAAGTGGAAAAGCTGATAATGTTAAAGGTGTCTCCAGCATTAAGATCAGTCAGGATATGTCGTAGAGCATCCTTAACCTGAAATGAACTTATATTATGGCACTAATCTGTTATACATATTTCAGAATTTTCATGATCAGTTACAAATACCTGTACATACAGTAACTGTAATTAATGCATTGTCATATTCTGCATTCAACTGAATTAGAGCCAACTTGTTTTATCTACAAATCTAACCAAGACTTCAACATACTGTATTTGCATTATATTATCAGCTCTAAGGCTAATTCAATGAGGTCAATGCCTTCCTTTCTTCCTCTCACATTTCAGTATGTTCCTGTACCATCATCTGATCCTCATAAACAACTTCAGCACAAGAATATGTTAAAGCAGGCAACATCCAGTTCTGCACAAGGAGAGTTAATGTAGACTGCTTTTACTTGAGGCATAAACCAAGATCATTTACCTGAATTTATCTGAGGGCCATCATCTGTAGTGACCTCAGCAGAGACAGGAAGCCAACAGCTTGTCAAAGGTCCCCACTTACTCCCGAGGATTTTTCTCGAGCTGAATTTTAAAATGAAGTACAGTACAGTATTGTCTAAACATTCACGGCTTTGGCAGGTAGGCGATTCCATGGGTTTTATTACCCAATTGGTGAAAAACATCTATTTTCTGTACAACATCGTGGTTTGTTGAGTCTGAAGCTGCTGTTCGTTGTATGCATTACATTTTAACTTTTAGAAAAGTAACCTGGATTAATAGCTTACAATTTATTCAGTATTTTAAAGGTCTCTGGGAGGTTAGCCCTGTCGTATCTTGTTTGTAGAAATGTTAATCAAGAGACTTTTAATTGTTCCTGGTATGAGAGCTGGAAGTTCTGAAATGATGTTTGTCACTTTGCGTTGAACTTTCTCCAAAGCTGACATGTCTTTTTGAAGGTGAGGTCTCTGTGCTCGGATACAATAGTCCAGATGGGGGCATATCACAGACTTGTACAGCTCAATTTTTTTTGTGAAGTCAAAGGTTCTTTTGATTATTCCTCTGGTTTGGTTAGTTAATTTTCACTGCAGCTCCCACTTCATCATCTTGTAAAGTCTCTTCCCCAATTAATCTGCTAAGTTTTTCCTGTTGCACTTAAAAATTGTGTGCATTCAAAAGTTGATAGTGATATCTAGATATCATCATTATGCAAAGGTATACATACATAATTACATATTTATATATGAAACCTAATTTTATCTTACCCTTTTTGATTTTACAATGATCTTGTTCACTTAACAAAAAATTGTCACTGTGAGCATACTGTATTTTACATCTATTAGTCCAACAATCTTTGGATATAGGAAGAGAGTATACACCCAAGACAGACAGACACGTGTATTTATTTTTGAGTGTGATTTAAATGCCATTTTAAATGCTTAGTAAAATACTGGTTTGCTTCAGTGGCTGTATAGTAATTTATATGATTATTTTCCAATTCTGATCAAGCTCATACACGAGTAAATCTGAACGGTCATATCATTTATTTATAACGAGAAATATACTACAGATACTGTGAGTAATAATAATAGTTATCTTGAGGTTATCTTGAGATGGTTTCGGGGCTTTAGTGTCCCCGCGGCCCGGTCCTCGACCAGGCCTCCGCCCCCAGGAAGCAGCCCGTGACAGCTGACTAACACCCAGGTACCTATTTTACTGCTAGGTAACAGGGGCATGGGGTGAAAGAAACTCTGCCCATTGTTTCTCGCCGGTGCCCGGGATCGAACCCGGGACCACAGGATCACAAGTCCAGCGTGCTGTCCACTCGGCCGACCGGCTCTGTTAGTACACTAACAGCAATACTATTTTAGTCTAAACCAATAATTACATTAATCTTCTAATAATACCATCTTACATACACCATCACTTACATTTTTTCCACATCATGAAGGCTTCTAATGCATTCCTTATAACTAAGGTTATAATATGACACACATTACATTCAGTTACAGACCAAATTGTCTCACCTGCGCTAATTTTAATCCTTCCATAGATCCTGAAACATCAATCAAGAAAGTAATATGTTTGGGCGTGTACTGTAGATCAATTGGTGCAAAGAAATGCACAAAATATCCATCTTCAACCTGAAAATAAAAATTACAATTACTAGTTATAAAAATATTACAAATAGGTAATGCATTTAGAAGATTTACATGTTTGTTTCACAGAGGCCCTTTGGTTATAATACTTTTCTCCAGCTAGCATCTAGCTATTTCTACAAGAATGAGAAAACCTTGTTGTTTGCTGCTGCTGCTGCTGTTGTTGTTTTAAATTCAGCAACTTGTAACAAAAAGTTCCAAGTAGCACAGGCTATGGTGAGCCCATAGTGGACTTACCTGGCACAGGAGCGGAGCTGAATGTGGTCTCTCTGCGACCGCTCTGGATGGAGAAAACCTGACATGATGATGATCACTGTTACCAATTAGTGAACATATATACTAGTAATTATCTTTTATTGATAATAAACTTAAACACATCATAATAACCATCTCAGTTTTAACCTAAAATGTAGTACAAACAATTATCACAGCAAATTCTTGTGCTATTAGCGTCAAAGGACAGTACTTAGTCTCTTGTTTAACCCAAAACAAAACCCTATGTCGAATCTGCAGGCATTAGACTTGCCTGAAATACTAAGCATACTGAAAGTTTCATAAACACATTTTTCACACGTTACCTACAGTTTAGATATGTCAAAGCATCAAATATGTCCTGTTTTTAATTAATAAATAAAAAAATAAGGTATACAGTACCTTCTTTATTAATACTGACATATGAATCCCTATTATACTTATTTTTAAGTCCAGAAAATACAATTCAAATATAAAAAAACATTAAAAACAAGCTCAGTAATTTAAGAATATATAGAGAACGACAAGTACAAGAGTTAGACGGTAACCACATTAAAGTTGGCATGTCAAATTACATAAAAAAATGTGTGTGCTCATGAAACCAAAAATATTACTGAATCACTATAGGGATTGCCACATATTACAGCAAAATGCCTATCCAGTAACATCTTACTTCAATCTTTAATATTTTTCTCAAATTAACTTACTTAATTTAAATCAATTTTTTGGGGGGACAAGGAAGCCTGTGTGTGTACATATATAATTTAGGCTAATATCCAGGTCCCCCTCCAAGGTCGAACTACTAACTCCCCAGGATGAAACCCAAACAACGGTTGCCTAACTACTGGGTACCCTATTTACTGCTGGGTGAACAAAGGCATTAGGAAAAAAAGTAATTTTCCCTACTAATTCTGTCCCCACCAAGGAATCGAACCCGGGATCCACAATTGCAATTCCAAAACTTAGTCAACTGTTACAGAGCGCAATACTATACACAAAACAGGTTTTGTAAATTATATAAACATTACTTCAGTGCTTAACAGAAAACGTGACATGTTTTATATTAATTATATTCATTGTATCACCTTACTCTGGTCTTGACCTGTATAATTACAAATATCAAACTAATTAAGCATTTTGAAATTTTCCCTAATTTTAACAGGTCAAAAAGTTCAAATAAAACCAAAACATAATATAAACTTATTACAAACTTGTATACAGTAATATGTTTATATAATATATATATATATTATATAAAAATATTACTCACAGCCTAATAAAGCTGTCAAGTCTTGTTACCTGAACATCACCAGCATCCAGAGCTCTTTCTACATCATAATGGACCACAAGCTGGCCGTGGATTACCCCACTGATTGGCATTGTTTCTGGTTCTGGATCAAACTGTAGTCGAGCAGTTTTGCCTCCTTCTCTCCATTCAGACACTAGTAAATGATACGTATTATTAGAATTATTTCATGTAACTTTAAGGTACATATTCAATAGCATAGTGTAGTAGTAATGTATACTATTAATGCAATTATGCAGTACTAATAGGATGTCACTAATCCTATTACAGTATAACCTTTGACTTGTTTAATTATAATTTAAAATATTTACAATACATTTTATTTTTTGTTTTTTTAGAGATATGTACAAGAGTTGTTACATTCTTGTACAGCCACTAGTACGAGTAGCGTTTTGGGCAGGTCCCTGGAATACGACCCCCACGAAGAATCGTTGCTACAACCAAGTACTCATTTTACTCTTGAGTTAAACAGAGATTACAGTTAAGGATTTGCGCCCAGTAAGTCCTCCCCGGCCAGGATACGAACCCATGACAAAGCACTCGCGGAACGCCAGGCGAGTGTCTTACCACTACACCACGGAGACTGGTGATGCATTATCGGAAAGTACATGTACTACAATATACTGTACATAACTTATAAAATTATAAATAAAATTATTCCAGATTAGGGTTGTTATCTCAGAAGGGTTACTTGATTTAGTTTTAAATGAGAAGATTATATCATTAATATCCAAGGAATTAAAATTCGTTGGGGATAGGTACAGAAGCTCGGGATAGCTACTGGGGAGGTAGTCACTTACACATATTTGGGATGCTGGGATCTCATGACAAGGGATGGGCCAATGGCTGGAGAAGAAACTACTGAATTTAGTAGCCGTGTCAGCCAAACAACTGAAGCACGACTGCCCTTTTAATACTCAAAACCCAAACGGGTTTTGAGAAGGAGCCAGCTGCCCACCACACCCCTTGGGCACACCATGAACCTTGACCACTACCTAAGACAATGTGAATATCTAAGAGACATTAGGTAATATGTGTAGCATAATAAACCCCACATTGAGTTAGGAAAACACTGTAAAATACAGATTCTGTTCTTAAAAAAGATTCTACTAATTTGCACCTGCAAGAAAACATATAGTGTATTTTAGGGGGTTGGCAAATGCTAATCTTCTTTGATAAGCTGTTCACTTGAGACAGTTAGGCAAGTTCCACCTGTGTCTGGGTACAAGTGACAGGATGAACAACCCAGCGGGTTTTCTTCCTATTGGGGAGTGTTGTGCATGCTGCTCTGGCGGTGTGTCCACTCGCAGGATGAGTGGCGCTGCCCAATAAACTCGCCCCACAAGGAGAATTTTTTATCCCGGACAAGAACTCCCGGCCCTGAAGAACCAGCAAGGGGAAAAAATATATAATAATAATAATAATAATTTATTTAGGAACAGTACGTACATAGTTGCAGCGTTACAGTACAAACATTCTGTTAGATTTAAAGATAGAGGTAGTACATACAATACCTAAAGCCACTAGTACGCATAGCGTTTCGGGCATTAACACTTTCGAGCATCAGTGGGGACCCTTCCATTAACTTTCGGACAAATATTAACTTCCCTGTGATCCCCGGTTATTAGGGCGCCCGGCGTCATTAAGCGAGATGTTGAAGAGGAATGTCGGGCAGCAGTAGCGTGACTCAATGGGCAATAAGTGCGTCCTGTTGGACTGCGGGCTCATGTGGATAAGGTGACCAGACATCCACTAGACGCCAAGGTTTAACCAGGTGTCAGGATAAACACCATCTAGTCTACTGTTTACGAGTTTGTAGTGTTCGGGCTGGTCGGTTGTTTCCCATCAACCCCTCTGCCATTTTCTATAATCACTGTCGTGTTGTAGTAATCCTTTCAGTTCGTTTATTATTTATTTAGTTATATAAAAGAAGGTATGTTGGGTTGTGAGAGTACATAACATTTGTGTTCTTACATTCTTGCAAAGCCACTAACGCGCAAAGCGTTTCGGGAAGGTCTTTAACAGAGAAAAGTGGGAGTAATTAAAAGGTACATTGTAACAGATTTGGATTTCAACATAATACCTACAATTAAAGACACTATAAACATATGTATGGTTAAGGACAGAAAGACTGGAGAGGTCGATGTTGACATCTAGCTGAAGGTGCTCCAGAAACAACGAACCAGCTAATTAGATTCCATTCCTGGAGCACCAAGGGATCACACACAGCCACAAGGTCTCCTGAAATAGCAGCAGCAACTTAACTGGAGGAAAGATAAATTTATTCCCACTTAATATGATGTAACAAAGACCATCCACCACAGACGTAAAGCAAATGGCGAAAATGAGCCACAGAACAGGATGTCTAAGTTGCCCTATGCATGAAACGAGAATAACTGAAGAGGGGCGAATATATCAGTTGCACATAAGCCCCCTCATAGGACAAAAGCTCCGTCTCGTACCACAAGAAGCCCAGCGAACCATAGAGGAATCAGGACATACCCCAAAAAATATCCACGAAAGTTTACAAGGAAAGGGAAACCTCACAAAACTGACTGTTCTACCAGGAAGATGGTCTTTGCCAATTGCCATTATGTACCATCAGAATACCAAATACAAAGAATGCAGAACCAGGGGGGCACACAGACCTAGGGCAGGTCACCCTACCTTGAGGCTACCTTGAGGCTACCTTGAGGTGCTTCCGGGGCTTAGTGTCCCCGCGGCCCGGTCGTCGACCAGGCCTCCTGGTTGCTGGACTGATCAACCAGGCTGTTAGACGCGGCTGCTCGCAGCCTGACGTATGAGTCACAGCCTGGTTGATCAGGTATCCTTTGGAGGTGCTTATCCAGTTCTCTCTTGAACACTGTGAGGGGTTTGCCAGTTATGCCCCTTATGTGTAGTGGAAGCGTGTTGAACAGTCTCGGGCCTCTGATGTTGATAGAGTTCTCTCTCAGAGTACCTGTTGCACCTCTGCTTTTCAACGGGTGTATTCTGCACATCCTGCCATGTCTTCTGGTCTCATGTGGTGTTATTTCTGTGTGCAGGTTTGGGACCAGCCCCTCAATTATTTTCCACGTGTAAATTATTATGTATCTCTCCCGTATTTATTATGTATCTCTATTATGTACCCTGCAGGTACATTGTCCCTGACCCCAGGGCTCAAAGAGAAGGTTTGGTGGCAAAGGCAACAGAGCACCCGTAAGCGAGCGCTAAATCAAAACACGCCGTGTGCACTCCATGTGCCAAATACGCGACAATTGGGAACAGAGAACGTCTGAAAGCAGCACAAAGGAATGAGGAATTCACCGGACGTAACGAGTGTGTAACAATAACAATTACCTAGGCCCTGGACTAGAGAACATGAAGTAGGTCTGTAACCAGTGCATTTGGCACCCATAGGATGTCCTGCTGGTTCGTCAGTCTTCCTCTCTCTCTCTCTCTCTCTCTCTCTCTCTCTCTCTCTCTCTCTCTCTCTCTCTCTCTCTCTCTCTCTCTCTCTCTCTCTCTCCGCTCGCTCGCTCGCTCGCTCTCTCTCTCGCTCGCTCTCTCTCTCTCTCTCTCTCTCTCTCTCTCTCTCTCTCTCTCTCTCTCTCTCTCTCTCTCTCTCTCTCTCTCTCTCTCTCTCTCTCTCTCTCTCTTTACACCCTTTTCTCCCCTCTTTTTACCCCAACTCTCTCTATTCCTCTCGGCCCCCTTCCCTCAGTATCCCCACTCTCCTCCCTTTCTATTTCTCCCAGAAAATATTACTAAGCAGTGCTGAAACAATTCTATGCGTCTCACAGAAAATGTATCATAAAGCCACGAAAAACTCTATTGAAATACACCAAATATTTCACACTTGACTCCATGAAAATCACATTGTGTGTGGGGGGGGGGGGAGAATGGGTGATTCTCTATAAATGCTAATGTTTCTAAACGTAGTTAACCTATGTTACTACCTCAACCAGACTATGTCCGTCCTGAACCCCTGACCATGTACCTTGTAAAGTTGGGTGAGACTAGCCCCAAGCATCTGCCCTCCAGCCTTGGACAAAGAGACAATCTCTCTTACGACAGAGATAATTACAAATATTAACTGTATTACTAACTTTAAATAATGTTACTGTATTTAATTTCTCAAAGCATTCAACTTAGGCCGAGCCCAACTGGCCTATGTCCGTCCCATACTCCACACCATTCCCCCTGCAAAATTGGGTTAATATTACTGTAAATTGCAGTACGTGTTAAAGACTTCATCAGCAAGTACTCACCAGCATCTCTGAAGTCCGTGCCTCCCGGTACTTTCTTAACGCTGAGGATGGTGATGTCTCGAGTCTCATGGATGGTGACATCAACCACCAGGTCCCGTACAGGGTATCCTGGGTGTACGTTGATCTTGTGCGAGTACTCCCCTAACCTTCGCTCTAGTAATTCCTGAGGAAACACAGTAATCTTATTTAGAAATTTACATAAAATATTAACACATATAGATATATATATATATATATATATATATATATATATATATATATATATATATATATATATATATATATATCACAATCATTCAATATATTACTGAACATTCTGAGTGATAAACATATATAAAAGTATGTTATTGTAATGCTTATCCACATTCCCGCCTCATAGAACGCAAGAATGAAAATATAGTTAAGAAAGCCCTTTCTTCTTATCATATTGGCTACTGTAGTATTAAAATGTTAACCAAATAATAAACTCCAATAGATGCAGCTTTTCAAAACACAATGGCTCGAATTTTAGTAATATATCTGCACTTTCAAGCTCAACAAGCCACAGTGTAGGACTGAGAACAGGAGATGTTCCTTCACCCTCTGGGTTATAACCCCATGGAACCGCCTACCCGTCGAAGCCGTAGATACCAAAACTCTGCTGAACTTTAAAATCTAACTTGAAAAAAATCATCAGGACAATTAGGGGAGGGGACCTTTAACAAGCCGCCGGCTTCCTGTCCTCGTCGCGGCCACTAGAATGCTAGTGGCCCCTCAGGTAAATTCGGGTAAATTTTAAGTGTGATGATTCAGTGGCAACAGGCTACGCTAGTGGCCATAGGAAGTGTATAGCGTCAGCTTGCGCACAACCGCCTTCTCTTGCATACATCAGCCGCCTGCCACAGTCCAGGAGGATCACGGCCCACAACACCATCGGATCAAGGGGATCAAGAGCCCCAGTGTTCTAGATGAGTCGCATTCAGGCGCACGCCTGGCTTGGCGCTCCCCGTGGCGCCAAGCGGGTTTCCCAGCATGTGGCACGGACCTT